TGGCAATCAGGAGATTATGCAACCTCAAAAATAATGCAGAAAATTCATACTGTATAATGAGAACAGCCTCATCTGTCTGTTAAAGATACAAGCTCGCTATCTTTTTTTCTAAAACCAGCCATTTTTTCCAGAGACAATAAAGGTGAAAATAGTCAAGTCAAATAATATAGGTCTTACTTAACTCATTAGTTAGTGTTAGTCAACTAGAGCTCTTTTTTTGCTGATGTTGCTGTGAATGGTTAAACATAATGTTAATGATAATATTTGCATAACAATGTTATGGCAGGTTGAAAGTTATAATTCACTTTCACTATTTGTAAAATTCAGTTTCAAAATGATTTTACCCGCAAGTAATCAAGAAGCAGTTAAACGATGATGATATGTCAGATTTACACCTTCTGTATGTTTTTCAATCTTTGAAGTGCTTCATGTCCTCAGAGGAAAATGGGCTGCTTTGTGACTTTGTTAAACGTCAAATAACAGAATGTCCAAGTGTTCATTTTTCTGATACATTTAGTTTTCATATATTATTTGATTTTAAAAGATAACTGATTGACGGCTATGATAGCAAACATGGGCTCATGCAGAGTTTTATACCTGACTAGCAGAAGAGAGGAGGAACAGTGAGAGGAAATGTATTGTACCCTTTCACAAAAGCCAATGAGCTTCCCAATTTTCTGTCTCATGGCTCTACCAGCCAGGTTGCTTCTGCTCATGCCTTGGCTCTATCAGAGCAATATTTCAGCATCTATCAAGACAGTCTTGTGGTTTATAATCTCACGTCTCACAATGGGAAAAATGAAGGTTTCCAGGTTTACTGAGAATAAACAGAACTATTTGAGACAATTCTTATAAAAGTTTGTGTATGGTTTATTGTGCATTGTACCTCAGGCCTTATACTCACTGATGGTGATACACGAGGCCCATGTTCTTGCCAGATCTTCTGCCACCCTGGAATCAAGAGGGTTTAAGTGGACGTTTAACTTCTGATGGCCCATGAAAGCTGCGATATCCCAGCAACGCTCTTTGTGGTAAGCTCCACCCTCCCCCTGTGCTACATTAACCCTGGCCTGACATCTTGGTGGACTTTGCCACCAGTTTTCCCATCTGAAGGTCAGACCACTGTTCATATAGTGGGGGCAGATGTTCTCAAGATGGTTCATTTGTTTCTCTTCCTCAGTTACCCCTTTCCAAAGAGATGGCTGGGGCAGTACTGCAATATATATCTATATTCATGGCTTCCTAGGATATGTGCTGTTGGACCGAGGTCCTCAGTTTGTGGTTCTTGTTTGTGAGGAACTCTGCTTGATGGTGTGGGCCATGTCAGCCTCTCTTCTAGGTACCATTGCCCGTCCAATGGCCAGACAAAGGCTAAACCAGGAGCTAAAGACTGGACAGGATTGCCAAGCCTCACAAAGTCCCTCATCCTGGAGAGACAGATGATCTAGGTAGAGTACGCACACAATACATTTCTAAGTTTTTAAAAGGTCCCCCTTTGGATGTGTGCTCAATTTTCTCAGCCCTGGAAGAAGGCCTCAGCATTTACGCTAAATTGACCTCTATGTGTGAAAGCTGTTGGTAGGTGTAGGCTGTATTGGGACAGAGGAAAAAGTGCCTAGAAAGTGAATCTCTGTCTGCAAGACTATCTTGTACAGATTAATATCGGTACCAAGCATGTGAGAATGCTTCAAAGGAAACAGAAGAAAGAGCTGTATGGGATGATGACTCTGATGAAAGTGATAGTGATGCATAATGTACGCACCATGTCACCATGTACAATTTGTTTTGTTTAAAGGATTGCTACACCGAGATTTGAGATTTTTATTATTTTTATATTTGTTCTACATTTGTCTGCGTTTGTGTTTTGATCTTTATTTTCATATTCTGGAGGGATTAATAAATGTCAGATGTTCTGACACTGTGATACTTGAATAAATGTTTTATACCATATTTTGAATTAATTAAGACCTTTTGTGCATTTATTTTTGTCTTGTAACATTTTTTTCCATTATTCCAATTTTGGGGGGCATGGTAGCAATTTGATTGACTTTCAGCCATTTATGGCCATGATGTGCTGTTTATATTTTATTGCTTTTATTACACAGTAGGTTGTGTCATTTTTATGTTTGAAACATAAGCTTTTAGCTAAATTTACTGTATATATTTAATTGTGCTGGGTGCAAATCACTTGAGTTGAGACTTTTCTTCAAGAAATTTGCTACATTTCATAATCTGAATTCACTTATGCGTATACTAAGGCACCAATAACTGTTTCAGATGTTAGGTACATGTATTTATGACATTTGAGAAAGATTTTGTCTTGCCAGAATCAACATAGCAGTTTCTACAAGCAAAAACAGCAGCACCATATAATCGTTTTTTGTGTTACTCACATGTACATTTCTGGCTGGTCTTTTGTCTCACCCTGTAGAGAAAGCCACTTTCTAATACTAGTTCTGTAAGTTTCCCAACGTGTCCTTGTAAAGTCGAGAACGTCTTCACTCTGGACAGATGATGGATGCATATAGCATCATTTCGTTCCTTTTTTATGCACTTTTGAAGGCTGTTTTCTTTTTTTCCTGTTCTTTTCTTCCTCTTAGCTTGTCTCGCTGCTAGATGCGCTCGTCACCATGTTTGTGTATTTCTGATACTATGGCAACAAGACTCGGCTCCTATTGGTCCACGTGACAAAAATCGCTTCACCCCTCTGCATATTCGATTGCGCGTGTGCAAGTATCACTACGCCGCAGAAAGGAAATAGTTCGACACTGAAACACTGATTACTAAAAATCGACCGGATGGCATGAGTAGATTTTTTTTTAGTACTCACTATCAATAGAGCTATTTTATGAATCACAGTTTATGTTGCCCCACTGAAGTGGAACGAACCAACAAGATCTCGCTCAGCCAATACAGCCTAGTGTGGCAACAGATTCGGTGGGATCTTCTATGAAACTTAGAGATTTACAGGAAGAAGGCTGATTGTTGGCACTGTCCAGCACCTCTCTTCTTGAAGAGAGAAAGTTTGGCTCTCAACCCCCCCACTGTATCAAAGCCAGGAATTTTGGTGCCAGGTTCATTTGTATGTCCTCCATCTTAAAAATGATTCATCAGTGTTTGTGGAACTGAAACTCCATATGAGACCATGAGAGTGCACGTTCCATGTGAGCCAACTTAAGCCTGCTAAAATGAGCACACTAGCCCCCCTTGCCTCCTGACCCTCTCCTCATCAGTGGAAGATCAGTGTATGGGGACTGGAAGTTGCTGATATTTAATCACAGGGGCAGACTGGTTGTATGGTCCAAAATGTGCCTGGGTACAATAACAATGACATCCTCTACCACCATAACTAAACACTGCAGTGTTGTCACTAAATGCACAGTGGGTCTTTGGTTGAATAGAATGAGCATTTATTAGGATGACTGTTTGAATCATGGACTGCAGGATATAACCAGAGGAAGCTACCGGGCTGATGCTGCCACAGCTGAAGTTAATTGGTCAAAGTACAGCACACCATAGAGTCTGTAGCCTATACTTAGTGATTATTATTATTAGCCGGATAATTGGGAGGTTTACCCTCTTGTCACCCAATAGTGGATCGATGTGGCTGACTGGACCAAAGACACTCAGCAGGGTTTGAGACTAAATTAACTGATTTATACAGATTTTAAAAAGGCCTGAAAATGGCAGACTCTTAAAGATAGTTGACATTCGGAGCCAGGCAGACCCATCGCCTTGGGCGGGCCATAGGGGGCCTGGCCCGCCCCCCCAAAAGGATTGTGCCCCCTCAATTGTGACACAGGTTGTGTGGTAGACAACGGTTAATAATTCCTGTAACTGTATTGTTGCATTCATATTTATTAAGACATTAAAAACTTAAAGAAACAACGATGTGTGATTTTATCTGATTGATGGAAATCTTTACTGAAAAGGAAGTTACTTCAATTTACTCAACGCGCATTTTTTAAAGTAAGCTGTATGCTCTATGTTATATTCAGGTGAAAGCAGCAGCAAAACATGGATTTTCTTGTGGTTTAAAAACCCATCAGCACTCTGCTTGCCAAATTGGCCATTACATGATTTATGTGATTTTTATAACTGCAATTTTGCACTCTTTGTCTGTGATGCTGCTGTGACAAAAAAATTTCCCCTATGGCGGATCAATAAAGGAATATTCTATTTTATTCTACACCGACGGTTTTTCCTGAAGGATGACCCCTCAACGATAGCCAGAGCTCGGCCCTATGGAAGGGGGCGACGACGGGAGTAGCAGTGGCTAGAAGGGGCGCACAGAGCAGGCCAAGTGCAGCCGCGACAGGTTAAGTGTTTGGGGCACATTATGGTATAGGCTTTATCTTAGTCATCTTTGCTATTGATTATGCGAAAAATGTTGTGCTAAAAAACTGTCAGTGCCTGACTCATCTTACAGGTGCCCTGATTGCAGTGCCAACCTTCTCTTTTTCCTACAAGTTAACAATTGTAAAATCAGGGAGAAGAGAGGTGGAACAATAGTTTTGGTTGGTGAGCTTGTCTTTCTGCTGACAGCAGTCTCCAGACAGTAAATAAGGACATGAGCTGTCAGCCACGACGGCAGCCCTGTCACGGCGCTGTCAATGGTGCTGAATGTGACTGCAGGTTATTTTGACTTGATTAAAATGTGTATTCATTGTACTGTATTGTTTGGAATTGTATTTTCAGCATCACCATTTTAAAAGCCAATTGTTTATAAAACTTGTATGTGTGCGTACTTGGAGCCAATTATTAAATCAGTGTTGCTACATATTAAACCTGAGACCAATTTAATCAGTATGAACTTCAGTTAGTGTGCCCGCGATGCTAGAATAGAGTGGGATAAAAAATAGACTAGTAATAATATTTTCCACCTTCCATGTGTTTCATATGCCTCCATAGACCGAGATCTGGTGATGGGTTTGGAGCCAGGATTTATTAGACCCTTGAGAAACTATTGTAGCACTTGCGCACTGGCTTCATTTTTCAGCACTAGAGTTGCATAATAGACAGACTGAAGTTATTTTTGTAGATGGATTGTTCCATCACCAGGAAAGTAACATTGCTCTGGAAACTGCAGATGAGCTTATTTGATTTGACAGATTTGTTCGTTTCCTTTTTAAATTATTTTGAATTATACATTAAAAGGAAGAGCAGCGAAAGCGTGTTTATTTTGAAGATCGTGACAGGAAGTGCGTTTTTCTGGCCAACTTAACATCGGTACTTGCTGCATTGGAGCAGAGCTGAAGGAGGAAAGCGAATGGACAAGCATCAGTGAGAAATCCTGGAGTACTGAAGTACTCTGTCTCTGTCTTTTGATCACAGCTGGACACAGCATATATTTGTCGAAGGCATTTGTTGCCCAGTGTTGGATGTCAGCGTGTAACAGGCCTATAACGTTAGGAGACGGTGCTGGTCCTGCGCTGGTCCAATTTTTGCAGCTTCAGAACCGCATATCGGGGCGACCATCGACAAAACACAGTAACAGGCAACGACTCAGCTCAGTGTGCGATGGGAGTCCGTCGTTAGAGGCTCTGTGTTATTAGACCCGATCAGAATTTTGCCAAAATTGCGACCGGTATCAAGTACTGCTCACTGTCTCCCGGCAACGGGGGAGACCACCGGCAGCTCGTGATGTCTCGTGCCAAGGAGCGGCTGAAAGGCGGGAATGAGACCAAGGACAGCGTTACATTGCTGCCATGCTTTTATTTTGTAGAGGTAGGCTATCTATCTATCTATCTATCTATCTATCTATCTATCTATCTATCTATCTATCTATCTATCTAAATGTTGCTTGTTAAATGAAACTAAGGGGTTAGCTGGCTGCTGTCAGATTTGATCGAATGAGTAATCGGTTGACTGGCTGGTAAGCTGATTAGTCACTGTCTGATCAGAATGATTGACCAATGAGTGGTGGGTTGATTGACAGTCTCTCTCAACTGTTCTTTTATTAGAGCAGATGAATCAGTAAGCTGGACGTGTGGATGGTGCTGCTAGATTTAAGATTTGGAGAGCACAGAGCCATCACACAATGACTGTCAATGTTTTGTACAGAAATATAAAACTGTTTGTCTGAAAACTTGAATTACAGATGATACTAGATGATGCCGCATAACAAAAAACAAGACAGGTTGTTTAGGCTACCAAGACACCGGGACAGTTTAAATGCAGTGCAATCTTTCTCAACCCCCTTTATCTTGTTGTATAGCCGGTTACACTACACTTGAAACAGGATAATAAATTCCTGTGAGTAGGCTACAATTGCAGTATGTAGGGCTGCTTGGTGTAAAGATAGACAGCCTATTTAATCACCAAGTGCCTTGTTATTCATTGCTATATTAGCCTCTGGCAAGAGAACTGCTGTAAAAAAGGCAGTTATATAGAGTTGAACACTAGAATTTGCAACACTTGATAGTGGTCTCTACATAGACTGTATATAAGATGGACAACGTGGTTCCGCCTTCCGCCTGTATACGGATTTGAAGCCAAAAAGCTCTCGGTAATTCCGGGTTTTTCTCCACTTCCTTGAAACCAGAGCTGTGCAGTAGCGTTGTGCGCATTCGGCCGCGCAGTCGCCGAGAGTCCCTGTGATGACGCTCGGCTCAAACAGCGTATCCCCCCGGGAGAGCTACGCAATCCCTGAACACCCATAGGCTGTACCAGGTGTCAATCATAGAAAACATGAACCCCCTAATAACTTTTAAAAACGGAGCTGTACAGAAAAAAAAGGACTTGGGCACAAACCAGTCTTACAATAACTACATGTCAACATCACAAGCAGGGGGGAGAAAAATTTATGTTCTGTGTAATAAATTTCTAAAGTTTGTCTACAGTCCCATAAGCTTTGCTGGTGGAGGCTGGATTTATGACCTGTACTGCAGCCCACCATCAGAGGGTGCTGTTCTCGAAGTGGCTTCACCCAGCGAGGAGGCAGACTCTGTCCATCTTATATACAGTCTATGGGTCCCTACTCTGCCACCGCTTCATGTGGGAGATAAGCCATCATATGAGCCTGCATATTTGTCATTGTGGATGAATAAGCTTTGTTTAAGTCCACATGTAGACCTATCAGTGTACAATGTACACAGCGTTGCTTGACCATGTCCTCTATTTTTGTAGACTAACAACACCGTATAATTTTACTGAGGTCAAGAGTGCATAGACCGGGCAGGTTATGATGAAAGCGCCCCCTGCTGGTGTACTGCACTATTAGGAGTTCAAATGTCTCATTACAGTTCTGTAAACTGTGAACTTTTCCCCTTAAGTTCAATTGAACATTTGAATTTTGATTAAAAAGTGACAGTCTGATCAAATACTTGTGATCCTGTGCTTGTGACACAGCCAACATCTCGTGCCTCAGGATCTAAGCTTGGGGTTGTGCTATATAATCTGTTTCCTGTATTCCGTATAGAGCGTTCCTAGGCTAAGAAAGCTAAGGCAGAGTCAAAACTATCAAAAATGGTCATACTCTCACCAAGACATATGAGGGAACGCAAGGATACTGTCATGAGGGGAACAAGCCAAACTGGCACAGTAGGAAGGCGAAGCAGTGCTTAAGTACATGCAGGTAGAACTCATTTTTGTATTAAAGTTGAAATAGTAGCCCTGTATCAGTAGAAATAAGCTAGTGGTAGAAGTAGTTGTGGCAATAACTGAGACATGACATTTTTTGGGAATTCCTGTGGGTCCCGTGGGTCACGTGATGGGAGTCATTTTTTAATTAATCTCGTTATCGGGACGGGACGGGGAAATAAAAACAACGGGAGTGGGCAGGAGCGGGAACAACATTAATAGATGATAATTTTCAGCCGTGTTAAACAATCAGATGAACAGATGCGTCCATTTTTGTAGTCATCTCTCAGTAAGAGTCAACACTCTTGACCGCGCTAGCAACACAAAAGAACTACAACAGTGGTTTGACTTCCTGTTAGCCGGGAGCGCGGCTGCGCATTTCTACCCTTTAAGCCAGGAGCGGGGATACATCATTTTGTGACATTCTGTTGTTTTTCAATATTTCTGGAGTCGTGGCAAATCAAATCACCATACCCGTCTGCCTCTGATAGGCGAATAAAGCGCGGGGATTCATGCTCCGATCTTGCTACGTGCTTCAAGAGTAAAGTAAACAACGATGGAGGCAGAGAGCAGCTTTGGAGGAGAAACATCCAGCAGCGTGAACAACCTCTTCATATGGAGTGCTTTGGTTCACACTATTGGCGTTTTCTGTGTGTTGCATGACATGAGCACACTGTCAGCCATAGATTTATTTATTCATTTTTCCAGTTTTAAGTGCTGGTCTTGGCACTATACTAGGGCAGCTGTATACCCTTTCAACACTTTATTTTTTGTATTTACATTTGTGTTGAATGGACACTTTGTCATGACTTTCAAAGCAAATAGTTTGTTATTCTCCAGTGCAGAGTCTTTACTTTTATTTATACAGCCGCTTTAATTCATTTAAGTTTGTTTCTTCAATGTTTTCAAAAATGTGATGAAGGTTCCGAAAAATAATAGATAGCTTTTTTGAAAGCCACACCTGTAAGCCTGTAAGCTCTCAAATACTTTTTGAATTCTGTTTCTATCTGTGACAGAGGCTGAGATATCAGCCTTTTTTAAACCTCAACAGTTAAGAAAACTGTTGGAGGGGGTCTCGCCCGGGGAGTAATTTAGTCTAGAACCGCCACTGTATATGCACTTTGTGTACACCGACCAAATGTCAGGCATGTGAAACTTAAAGGCAGTGCCTTTTATATGCAGTGCACTTTTACTTAAATAGAAAATGCAACGTTTTTCAACATGTTAGGTTTTATTCAAACGGGAGCGGGACAGGAGTGGGAGTAATTTTGAGTGGGAGCGGGATGGGAGTGGGAGTCATTCTACGGGAGTGGGACTGGACGGGATTAATTCTTGTACTCTAGTCCGGGATTGGAATGGGACAGGATTTTTTCTCTGGGAGTGGGACTGGACAGGAGTGAAAATCCGCTTCCGTGTCATGCTCTAATACAAACTCAGAATAAGTCTTTCCTTTAGTGCAGTAAATCAGTAAAGTATTTATAGTCACCAAGGATTTTTCACTTAGCATGCATGTTTTACCGGTTAGATGGAAGCCTGGGTATTATGGCTATGCCCTTATTAGCGGGGCAGGTAATAGCATATTATAGGAGAATCGTTCACTTGCGGATAAAAGCACCAAGATTGGCACCCATACTCCTTAGGAGTTCAAATTTATCAGAATATTAGGATTCTGGGACTGATATGTGCAGTGAGGACACATCCTTGCCCACGCCCTCCTTGCAACCCCCCCCCCCCCCCAACAACACTAAGATTTAGGCTACCAACCATTTTACTCGAGTCTCACATGATGTAGACCTAATTAGGATCAGAATATTAGGATTCCGGGACTGAAATATGGTAAAAGGAAGCCAGTAAGTAAGTCCATGGGTCCAAATTTGGTTTCTGCATAGTGGAAAATGTATGATTTGACACCAAGATCATCAAAATAAGACAAGTCTATGGGATTTTATTGCAAAATGCAATATTACTGTATTTTCAATGGTGGCCATCTTGAAAAATGGCCGCCATCTTGAATTTTCATTTGGCCTGACGGAAATATCAAAAGAGCAACTTTTAAGGAGTATGTGTGCCAATTTTGGTGCTTTTATCCGCAAGTGAACGATTATTACAGTTATCTGCCCAGCTAAGACGCTTCCATCAGCATGCATGATTGGAGCATAAAGTTTCATTTTATGTTCTACATATCCCAACATCTTACATGTCTCCCAAGACTGATCAATTTATGCTCTGATTTTTGCAAAATATCTGGTTGCAAAATAAACATAGGAACAGTGAGCTGATGCCTGCTGGTGTTAACGCTGATCAGGTCACTTTGGGCACAGTCCCTTTTAAAAGTAGTCCCAATTTAAATATGTGGGGATGTAGCAATCAAGACAACCCTGGGTGTGAAACCCACACATTCCTCAGAGGAAAGTTTCCTTATCTGGTCCCAGGAAACAGGATATAAATCTTTCCAGACTTGTGTGCACTTTCAGGTTACCTAACTGACCCAAGACCGGAGGTTGACTAAACCTCTGACTCTTCACGATTGGTCGATTCGGAGAACAGAGACAGAGTTTTTATTACCTTTCAAACTGACTCCATCGCTGACCATCTAAATAAACATTAACGTCTCAACCCAGATCTCCCATTTGAGATTTACCTTCTTAAAGTGTGTGAACATACGGACCCCAGGATAAGGGGGGACACTGACCTCCAGACCTCGGTCGTAAAACCCTGCTCGACCATACACTGATAAAGACTGCATTCCTTTGGTGAAAGAATACAAATGACTGATCCTGACATCTTATGCATTCAGCAATGTACTAATCTGTCTAATCATGAAATTTGTGTTAAAATGAGATGTTTCCCGTTTTTCTATGTGCTCCAGAAGCCGAGTTATCGCTCTTTAGTTTCTTTAGAACAAAAGCTTTTCAGACTGTTTCATGAACTGTTAAGAGGTAAATTTATTGACTATGGATCATAACTTACTCTATGAACACAGAAATAGTTTAGAAATGTTTGGTTTATATTGTAGATGTTTATTTAGTATTTTTAACCATTAGGTGGTTATAATGTCATTGAATAACCTGAATGTGAGTATTTAGAATCCATTATTAATCATGATGAAGTTCATTCACATGTGTTTACTCTTTTGTTGTTCACAGTTTCCATGTGTTACTATCTGTTTCATTTCAGAGTAATTTAGCATGTTCAATGTGATACTTAAAACATGAGAATGTTTGATGTGATCCTACACTTCATTCATATGTGTTTAGTATCAAATTATTGATCATGAAACCTAGCATTCAATGATATTAATCATAGTGAGTGAGTATCAGATCTGACTCTTTTACCAGCCAAAAGAATAAGTTAGATCAAATAATCAGAGATTCCACGACCCCTCCTTTCTCCTCACACACACACCCCGGAAACACTCCCAGTAGGCCTGAACGATATATCGTTAGACTATCGTCATCGCGATGTACGTGTGTGCGATAGTCACATCGCAGAGCCTGCGATATTGGAGGTGAATGAACTCATTTAATTTCAAGGGTAACCGACTGAGATACACTCCATGTGACTCTGCATGTGCTGTGCAGCGATCCACCAATCGCCTTCGTCCTTAACTCAGTTGCCAATCAGACTCACTTCTCAGTTGCCAATCAGACTACCCTGCCAGCTGTCAATCAAAATCAGGGAGGAGAAAACCCACCCCTGCACATGTTCTGCACATGGAGGGAGACGTATATCCGCTGAGAATTACTTTCGGAACTTTACTCATGACTATTAAGCCCAACAAATAAGAACTGTATGGGTTTTAAATTGTACATTTCCGTGGACCACTCTACTATAAGCAGTGCGCGTTTTGCGAGGTGCATGCAATTCTCGGAGGACATGCGTTTCTCGGCACAACACCGCTAACAACAACAACAACAACGATCGCAAAATGAACAACGAACAAGCGAAAACCACCGAAAATGAAGATCTGTTGCCAAAAAGAAAAGGAAAGTCAGTTATCTGGAATTATTTCGGTTAAAAGAAGGATGATGTCGACCAAAACACGTCTTCTGTGTTCTTCTGTTGCCACAATAACGTCCCAGCACAATAAAAGCTAAAAATATCTCTGAGACAGACAGAAGCCGTTCTACTAACATTCACAAAAAGAGGTAAGATCAGAGCAGATTAACTGTCCTCAAGATTTCAGCAGTGCAGCATAACATTAAGTGCTATTCAGGTCATCTGGTGAAAATACTGTATTTTTAATATCGCAATATATATCGCAGGGTTGAAAAAATCGCAATATTATTTTTTTCCAATATCGTGCAGCCTTAACTCCCAGTGTGAGAAGATGAAACCAGTGAAGTGGGGTTGCTCAATCTCTTGTTCACTCTTATTCTCTCTAGACTCTTGTACCTTCTCTTCTGCCCACACCCTTCTGTGGTCATCTTCTTCTTTGTTCCCTCTTAGAACTTTTTCTTAGTCTTCTAAGTTTTACACCACGTGTTGATTCACGTTGATTTTTCTTTAACATCGTCTTAGTTCAAGTTTTGAAACTTCAACTTTTTGTGCACATAGCAATTCAAGATTAAGCCTTTGATTGATTTTTCTTTAATTTCGCGAAGCCATTTTTGAAAGTTTTCTCTGCTCTTTGAGCCTCGTTTTTCTGAGTTTTCTGCGTGATCTCAAAGTCACCTCTGAACGCAACCCAGCAGGCCCAGGTCATCCTCTGTGCCAGAGTTTTTTAGTGAGACCAAAGAAGTACCCAAACGAGCATCCACAGGATCCACAGGCGCTGGCTTTGCTTCGGGCCAGAGTGCTGCAACTCCTGGCTCATCCTTCGGCTGACTTCAGTCGTCTTCTGAGCTGAACCGCTCGAACTGCCAGTAGCCCCGGACCTTTTGAACCTGCTCCATCTTCTCCAAGGACCAGTCTCACTTAAGTATGCAAACCTCCAGAGCTCCAAAGAGGGCTGGTGCTGTCTCCTGCGTTCATAGCTCAGATATCCTCTTATTCTGGTAATCTTAGATTCCTCCAAATCCACATCCGAGTTTATCTCGACACCAAAGTTAGTGTAGGTTAATATGTTAGCGCATATTCAGTCACTATCATTAACTTTAGTGCTCCTAGCCTGACTCAGAATCTTTATTTATTCACCTATTTTTATTTTATCTTTATTATCTTATCATCATTTATTGCATGTATGTTGTACCATCATTTATCCTGTAATAAACAGATCATTATTTTTCTAAGTTCCTGACTGTTAGTGTTCTTCCAGAAGTGGAGTCCCTGAAATTAGAATTTCGACTTAAGATATGAGACTGATTAATTAAAACTGACTTGATGTTTGATTTCTGAATTAAACTTTTGTTTTTCTTTATTTTCCCACCATTAAGGGTGGGTGGTGCCCCTTTCAACGAGTGCATAAATGTCATAATTTGAGATTATTAATCTTCAGACATTTATTATAAATTCCAATCGCTACAGTATATTTTGGTGCGACCGTGTGAGGCTCATTTAAATCACTACAGGGATAAAGGTCACAAGGGTTTAAATGCAGGTAATTATGAATCCTTATTGTTTGATTTGAAGTATATAATGTTGGGACCCCATGCCTCTCTCTTTATCTCTGAAATTGGATGGAAGAATCACTACAGTAAAGATGAGTGTATTATCTAAATTTCTGTATTGCAGTGTCTTCTTTTCTTCTAAACAAAGTTTTTTTTAAATTACTTCAGGCTTGATATTATATATAAAAAAACACCCCAGGTCCAAGGAACTATATTGTAGAGACCTTGTGATATAGCAGCCTTGTTAAACTCTAAATTACCAAACAGTTTCTATCTTCACTTCTGTTTATTTTACACTCAGTCAAATTGGAAATACATTTAAAACAGATTTTTTTCCTTTAATGACCTATCACAGGCTACACCCGTACCAAAGAGTTCACAGTTAACCCCTCTGTGATGCATGGGGTTTTACTTCAAACACACACACAGCTTTCCACCGGGACCAATGTCAAACTAAGTCTTTTGAATATAACTTTACTACTAAAAATGTTATGAGAGTGATTTTTGAACTTTTGGACAAGCATAATTGGGGTTGGAGTTCTTGTTCGTGTTGACCTTATATTATGAAAAGAGAAACCATGATCAAAAGAGATTATGAACCGATGGAAGTCATGTCGAGCTTTCATTTAAACTGAATATGAGTAGTGTTGCTTTCTGCTGATTCCTGTGGTCTGTCTCATCCATTTGCCTCGTCCCATTGTTCCCTTTTCCTCCACTTAGTCCTCTGTCTCTGATCCCATGCCATCCATCATCACATGTCCAGCCATAAACCTGTTTTGTGATAACCTTTGGTATGAGGAAATGCAAACATTTAGGCTGTGGTGAAATGGAGTTATTTAAGTTTGCGTCAGTTTGCGTCAATGCAACAGGCCTACAGTACCCCTGATTGTATAATGTAAAGTTGTGTTGTTTAAGCACAGGTACTGCAAAATTTTGAAACATGGATAACAACAGTTTCTCTTTTTTCATCCAGACAGTGCTTCTGTGTCTCTTCCTTCTCCATCTTCATACACACTGTCACACCATCCTACCCACTAACTGGCTGCTAGGCAACATGGCCCTCTGAATGGGGTGTATTTTTATATCTATGTGTTCAGAGCTAGAGACAGTGAAAAGCATCCTTAATGTACTTTGGTTCTTCGGCTCAGGTTTTGGTTGATATGTCTTTAAAATTATCCTCACTGTCTTTACATACCATGTCCTGATGTAACTGGTATTCAGGAGGATCATCATTTTTTGTTTTCTTTTATGCAACACAGTAGATACACCAGTCACACAAAAACAGGGACTTAGTCGTACGTTGCTGCAGCGGATTTCCATCACATTCACAATAAACATGCAAACAATAAGTTCAACAAAATGCCCTCTCAAGTGGTCAAAATGTGGTGTAGTGCCATCTTGGTAATTAAACCTTATTATTTTTGTTTGGCAGTTCAAGTTTGTGGGTCAACTTCAGCCTGATGAATCAGGTCATTTATTGACATTTTGACACAACCAGTGTGATATCGGCTCTCAGAAGGCCAATATCACTATAATCTTTTCTTAATGAAAACACATCTATTTATCAACCCCCATTAACAGCATATTTAATCTAAAGCAGTCTTTGAATGGTGGTTTTTATTGTATTGTAATATTTAGTAATGACAGCAGTATGAACCATGTTGAACAACCTACAGCAAAACTCAATATCTGTGTCTCTTTATCTTGATTCATTAAAAATCCATCTGAAATATACTGTATTTCTGGCTAAGACAACCACATTTTTTAATGAATCTTGTATATATTATTAATATTTTTTCGTATTCATATCATTTTCATATCTTGTGTCAGTGCAGAGTTATAAACAATCAAATAGAAAGTGTGAACATGTGACACGTTGCCCAGCCATCGGGTAAGTTGTCTCACTACATGGGGTCACAGTGGATTTTGCAGCTAATAAAACAAGGACAAAATTATTGTTGTTCCCCCTTTTTTTTTACATGAAAGTGAACATCAAAGTCAGGCACAGAAAATGTTTATCATTGAGCCAGAAAAGTCATTGAACATAGCCATTGAACAAACGTTTCCATAAAATATTATGCAACATGCTCTGGAGTTTGGAGAGCTGTTTGATTCTGTATTACGGCTGGGTGAATGTTTTGCAGTACCGAGCCAAGGTATGGTAGTTGACATTAAACTTCTTTATTGTACTCCAGATTGATTTATTAGCTAGGGCCACCTGCCTGCCCTCAGCATCACATCAGGAACTGCACTGCCATGGTCTTTTTTTCCTTCAAGATTCCTGACCATGTCCTCTCACTTTCTCCTCCCTTTAAACCACTCTTTTCTCTGTAAAAGTAAAGTCAAAATTTCTGTATGACAACTGCTGATAAGCAGACTCTCTATCTTAATTTAATCCCTTTAAAACATGTGACAACTAACCCCAAAATGACTGAGACATATTGCCCCAAACAACTATGTCTGCTTATTAAAGCTCTAGCTTAAGGTTAGCTTAAAACATAACAATGACTGAGGTATGAATGGATACCTTAATCTCTCCTCTAACAAGTCCACATGTTACACTGCTAGGATTTTTATCCGGAAAAAGCTTATATTAAAATATGTTAAGTTCAAATTTTACTTTGGGTTGTGCAAAATGGTTTATTGTTGCTCATCTCAGCTCACAATGTGCTATTCTCTTCTCAGACAGGACACGGCCCCTGACAATGGAAAGGAAGAAAACTAATATTCCACTTTTTAGTTGCACCCTCTGGTGGCAAAGATAATTGCAATGTGACAACCTACCTGTGTGACAACAAGCCCCCGGTCTCCCCTACACCTTGATGGGACTAGGTTGGACCCCCTTTTGCCTTCAGGGCAGCCTTAATTTGATTTACAATGTGATATTTTCATTACATATCCACCACAGACTGACCTGCCCTCTCATTATCAGTATCAGAATTAGCCACTGAAAAATTGAAATTGGCCGGCCCTTACTCTAGAGTAGGGTGTGTGATATTGACAAAAACTGGTATCTTGATATTTCTGAGGATTTTAGGCCAATATGTCATATTCCTTAAAAACATGCAACGAGTAACTGAAGTGGTCCATCAAAAAGGAATGATAAAGAATTCACCTCTAAAGCTTCAACAGTTTGTGTCAGTTCACAAAGACTGATTGAGTGAGTGTTGTGATGTAACACAGCAGTAAACATGACCCTGAACCAGCTTTTTAGGAACAAGCTGCAGCATCAAATTCAAATGAATATTTGCAAACAACAACAAAAAAAAAACTATAAAGCTTATCAGTTTAAACCTTAAATTTTTTGTCTTTGTGATGTATTCAATTGAATACAGGTGGGAAAGGATCTTAAAATTGTAAGAATAGGGGTTTGTGAGTAAATGTAAAAACAAAATCACTGAGAGCACCAGATAAAGTACCGAGATCAAACGACAATGATTAAAGCTTTTTAAAGTGCCCCCGTTGGATTAATTCATGCAATATTACTCAAATACCAACAAAGCTAGTATTTCAAACTTGTACTTTAACAAGATATAAATCCAAGGAAAGTAAGATAACCATCATAACCATCATACAGTTCTTGGTTTTGAAATCACAAATTTTGGTTCATTTTTCAGTTCAACTCCTCAAACTTCTCTTACTTTACTGAAAGCTTACAGAACTATAACACACTATCTGAACTGAGCAGTTCAGGCTTGTAGGCCTGTAAGACTTTATAAAGTACCATTTTATGGAAAACTCACCGAAAACTGAATAAATAATGACATGATTTACAGTCAGTTAATGAGTGTACTCCCTGCTCCCTCTGCCCCTCCTGCTCCTCACACTGTGCTCTTCTATTTTCTGGTTCACGTGGGGACCTTTGATCTGAATAAACTTCAGCTCTCATGCATATATCCAGATTTTCCAAACTGAGAGACATACCCAGTTTTGTAATTTCCCATGCCTAGAACAAGTCTGACAATAAAACCTCCAGTTTCATAAAAGTTTGGGGCGCTGTGTAAAATTAAGATGGTATAGGACCTGATGGTTTTCAAATCAACTTAAGCTTTACTTCATTAACAGTAATGTAAGTACCACAAATTAATGTTGAAACTGAAAAATAAGACTGTTTCCTGAAAAATATATGCACCTTTCAATTTGACACCGGCAACATTTTTCATTAATACAGCAACAGAAATGGTGGTTTAAGTTCTTGGTTGATTGAAGCAGTCCTACAACAGTTCTGGCACAGTCTAGATATAACTTCTCACAAGTTTTTCTGCAGTGTATCATTGCGAAGAGTTTGTGGATTTTATTATCTACAGTATGTAATACCACTGAAAGATTTAGAGGATCTGGAGAAATCTCTGCATGGTGGGAATAAGGACCAAAACCAAGCCTGGAGACTGACTCCTTGGCTCAGGTTAGGGACTGTGCCACATGTTAATCCAGGTACACAGTGCAGATGTTGAGGTTGTATTCTTGTTCTTGTCTTTGAGATTTGTGGACATTGATGTTCTCTGTTATGGTGGCTGTCAGACCTTGTAAATATAGAGCATACACGCTCACCTGCTTTTGTGTGTGTGGGTAGAATGAACTCAAATACATGCTTCATGTGTAAGTGAGATGGCCTGAAGTGAGCTGGAGTAAACCTATAATGAAGCAATGTCTGTGCCAAATATACCATATATGTTTATACTAAAGAAAAAAAAAACTTTCTTGAGATCATGTTTACATTAAATGTTTGATATAAGTTTGCAATATTAGGCTGGACAAATTCTGTGAGCAGGTTTTGACAAACTATATTGACATGGTGAAAAACCCTGTTAGACTGCAGTAGAGGACTTTTTTACTCCAGATTTTTCCTTTATATCTCTATGGACAAAATGATACTGAAGGATCAGTAAGCATAGTCAATCCTGAAGGAATCATTACTTTGGGGTTTCTTTTGTGGCACATCTGTCACTACCAAAAGTTCCAGGTTTCTTGATATCTTTAGCAGTGACTAACCCCAGCATAAGGCAGTCTGTATGATCTACTAGAGAAATACTACAGTATGTTTAGTCTCTGCCTGCATACTACTGTTCACTGATTTATTTCATCTAAGCAGTGCATGAGTGTGGCTACCACGGTTAGAGGCAACTGCAGGACCTGTTGCACATAAGTCTTTGGAAGCAGAAGGTCAAGAAGCCAAGTGGATGTTGTGAAGATTGATTTCAAATCATATTGAAATTATACTCAGCTTAAAATAACACATAGCTTAGAGTTAAAGTAAGTGGTGAAGTGTTAGGATTCATAAATGCTATCTTAGAAGTGGAGTACAAAATATTTTCTTTTCAACCATGTGCTCAGAGAAACATTTTTGCCAACAGGCTGTGCCGGGAACTGAGACTAAACGAAGGATGGAGGTGAGAATCCAGCAGATGATGAGTGGAGCTTTTTGCAGCCACCTCTTCTCGAACATTTAAGTCCACTAAGATGAACGAAAAGATTTCAAAGCAGAGGAGTTTGTGTACTGAACTTGCCATGAGTGTTGTTCCTTTGTTACACAGTCAGACTTTTCAGTCCAAACGCACTCAGTATTGTCTTTGTATTCAAAGGTAGTCCTGGTCTTAATGCTCCTACACTGATGTTTAGATGGAGGGATCATTTGGATGTTTGTGGTGCCTTTCCACAGTTTGTGTAATTACCTTTTATTTTTGCAGTTTTTACAGCATGTTTGTAAAGGTGGGGTCTTAAAACAGTGTTTAAATTGGAATCAGTTGCTCTGTAATAGCATCTCATGAATCAAAATGATAATTGTCTTGTTATGAATGTTTGTTTAAGATCATACTGGTTATCATTTGATTTGTTTTCTGTTCAGAAAGAGTAATATTTGTCATACATTTCTAAATTAAGAGCTATTTTGGGGTTCTTGCAGTACTTGAATATCAGCACATTTTCAGTATACTGTTAAGGGGTTTCATCAACTCGTCGACTAGTCCGCTTCTTGACCACTAGTTGGTGCTGTAGACAGTTGTCAGCTGGTTGAATGGTCAGTTATTTTCATGTATGCTTTACAGCAAATCACCATACAAGTTCTGAACCTGAGCTTGCTGGCAAACTCAGAGAAGCTAAGGACATAACGGGTACAACACAAAGTCTTTTCAGTGAGCGATGGTTTATATTTAATTTTGAAGTATGATTTTAGTACAGCACATTTAAAATGCAGTAAGTACTCAGTACAAAGTAAAAAAATAGATAAAATGAATTTTTTCTCTACCTGGGAAATCCTCCCTCAGAACAAAACAATTACGTTAACTGATTCACCGTCTTATTGTCATGCTGTAAGAAGCTTTTTAGAAAGAGCTGTGTGACTTGGACAATAAATAGTAATAACTATCTTGTTTTTATTTTCATATTTGCTGTAATTTCCATATTAGGTACCCTGTCCTTTGGAGAACTCATCATGGTTAATGCAAACTTCTTTATTCAAACAGTATTTCTGACCTCCACTGCAGCCAAAGCTGACTTGATAAAAACTCCTTCTCTATTATCCAAAACAAAGTTCAACTGAATGGAGACACATTTAAGTGACTCATCACATTTTGAATAATGAACATCAGCACTTTTTGAAACAGTACCCTGAGCAAGTGTTAACTTTTGTAGGGCACTTTTTTAAACACAAACATTAATTTTTCTGTGTTGTTTTTGTCATCCTTGTAGCTCCCTATCCTGGCATCCTCTGTTGTCAGTCTTTATTTCCTGGAGTTGACGGACATCTTCCAGCCGGTGCATTCTGGGTACAGCTGTAATGACCGCAGTCTGTCTCTGCCGTACATTCTGCCCAGACAAGAAGTCTGCCCACTGCCTCTGCTCTTCAGCTTGGCCTTTGCTGCACCTACAGCCACTGTGAGTAATCCTTTTACTGTCTCCCCGCTGGCATGAGTTATCTCCAACCTAGTTATTTATATAAAGTGCTGACTGGGTTGAAAACGGGACTGCAAGCACCCTGTTACATTTGTGGACATATGCCATATTTGTTGTGCTCATTTCAGTTTTCAAAATTGACCACATGTTCTGTTTTCATGGTATTTCATTAATAACAGCTTGGTTGTGGCTGCATAAGAGAGTGCTTTCAAAAGTTATACTCTCATTTTCACTTTGTCAGAAATTTTTGAAAATAATTTTATCGTAAATATAAGCCTTAGAGAGGTCTCATTATCTTAAAACAGTCATGGGATTTTTAGAAAAGATTTCCACTGCAGGTTCACCCAAAGACATTCAGCATTTCGCTGATTTCAAGTGTTTTGAATTAATGCTGGGAACAGGTCAAACAGGAAGTTCCCAGAGGTTGTTCCCTCAGAGACATTCAGGATTTTGGTGTGAGTTTCTTCATGCAGTCATTCTTTTTAGGTGACTGATTAACATAAAGACCAAAACAAATTAAGAATTACTGATGGCTTTTGTTACTTTATAACCTATTGTGAGTGTTGTTATTATATTACTATAGGTAACTCAATGTGGCGCATGTCATTGTCTCAGCTAGAAGAAGAAATGGCAATTTAAGCATGTCATCTTTTCTGGGGATACAAAAGGAGAAAGGCATCATTTTATAGGATTTTATAAACTAGACTATTCCTTTTTAGGGATGGAGATCAATAACCGGGTCCATTAAATAGCTGATGAAGCATGTTTGAAAACCTGACAACCAATAAGTCTTGAGCTAATCTGGTTCAAAATTTATACTTTGAGTTACATGTTTATTGAATCAGTGGTACACACGCAATAATAGACTCACTATTAATGTTTATGAAGTGAAACAGGTTCAAAATTTCATGAAGGTCAATGGCCAGTTGTGATGATGGCTGAATGTCCGAGGAGGTCCAAAGTGATAGCAAAGCTAAGATGGGAATGAGGCGAAATGCAATCTATGATGCAACATGATTTTCCTGCAAGAAGAGAACAAACCTTCATGGTTAAGCACATCAGCACTGTGCATTAAGTCAAGCCAAAGCACCTGCAGAGCCTTTGAATGTCTGTGACTTGAAACTCTATCAACTCTGGACGCTGCTGCTGCAGAGCTGCCGTCCTCCTCTTCACCCAAAACAGCCAGACTTAAGCAGGTCCTGTTAGTTAAAAGTTGTGATCATGTATGATTAGTTAGCTGACGAGTTACATCCAGCTAATTAAAATTAGCTGGATATAACTCATAAGCTAACTAATCAAGTGACAGATTACAATGTGAGGTGTTCAGGGTCAGGTTGGAAAAAAAGGGAATTAGGCCAAAGTAGAAAGTTATAATAATGTGTCTAAATTTCATGTCCGAAACAAGACAAAAGTAGAACAATATAGTGAAGATTGGATGGCAGTATGGATAAGAATTAACAATCCCCATCCCTAACCCTTATTTGAGTAAAACCACCATCCTGCCGTGACAGCAGTGTCAGCAAAAAAGTCAACCCCAATATTTTGGTTCAAAAATTGTTTAAATATCTTCTCCCAAAGTTAGCCACGGAACTGTAGAAGTCAGCAGTCTCTATAATGTTTCCCTGCATGCTCTCCCACAGACTATTGTTGATGTGTTACATAGCCTTAACATGTATAGCATTATTTGAGCTCTCTTTCTCAAACTGTCTCAGCCTCCATCACAGCTGTCTTTGATTGTTTTCCCGCACTGATTAGCTATTAGTCAGCTGCTCATTGTCTCTCACCCTCACTGCATTTGAGTACTTGTTCAGTAACCATGGTAACTAACACCTGAAGCTCAGTTAAGCTGTATGTCAAAATGTCTGACAGATGGAAACAAACTCTTCAATGACGGCTGGATGGCACATTAAAATCCTGTTATAACAGTTACATTGTTTACAAAAAATTATGATAACTTTTGATATATGTTAAACTGCTCAGACTGGTAATACCACTAAACAAGTAATTACTAACTTAATTTTGATAAGAGTTCTTGTTGCAGTCCTGTCCTCATGGTTAACTATGGTTCATTATTTTGCAGTTGTTTCATTTGCAGACACTAACTCATGTCACACATGGACTGTCCTCTGGTTTTCCAGTGCCTGTTTCCTGTCTGTAAGCTCTAAATGTGTTGAGGCCCGTCTAGCTGATGGATGAATAGACCACCTCCTGGTGATGCCTGTGCAATGCAGCAGGCCCTATATTGAACTCACACATTTGCCTCCATTGTAATGGGGTCTAATGAGCAGCAATCTGCCTTCTGTAAGAATGAGATATCCCAAACGTTACAAAGGAGTTTTTATTTGTATCTCCTCTGTAACCACCAGTGCATCAATCTGAAGTCATTTGTTTTATTTGTACTTATTCACGAGTCACTACACTACTTTTTTTTTCTAAATGATTATTATTCATACCAACCACCTACTTAACCTGGTTGTTTTCTTTCACAAGTTAAAAGGAGAGGTTTGACTCAGTATAGATGTGCAGAGGGCTACCTTTTGTCCAGAGCTTTTTCAGATGCTTTGGAGTTCAAAGAAATCAGGCTGTGCTGGTTTGTGACCAACTGTTTGATTAGCAGAGCTCAGTGTTGTTACTGGATGCTAGCTGTTTCTGATGAGAGGTGCACAGTGAGTCTCTGCAGGAATTGGCCACTTTAAGATTAGCTGTTGTGGTTGTGTGTGTCTGTGCAGGTATGTGCACTCACAACAAGTGTGTTCCTCTGGCCAAAAACATGAAAAAGGTGTGCATTCATTCCCTCTCTAGACTGATTCAGGTGGGCAAAGCATGCAAACACAGTATCCTTTCTCAAGTAGAAGGAAGTATTAAGTGAGTAATCAGTGTTGTGTTTTACATATTCAAATTTATAGTGTGTGCACATTAACTGTGATGTAACTTCTGAATCGGCACAAGTCTCTTTCTGTCTTTGTGTGTAGATTCTGATTGGAGAGGCCATTCTCTACTGCTATTTATCGAGAAGGTCATCTGCCACACAGACTGAGGCCAACATCAACGCTGCAGGCTGTAATTTCAACTCCTACATTCGCAGGGCTGTACGCTTCATAGGTGGGAGGAGTCATGCTTACATGCATAATTTATAAACGAACAAGGATAAAGATAGACAACAGCTATAGAAGTTTTATAGGAATTTGAATGTAAAGTTGCTCTTGGTCACATTTTCACCTCCTCAGTGCTCTCTTCATATAAGTGTTGTACTGTTTCAGGTGTCCATATATTTGGCCTGTGTGTAACAGCGCTGATTACTGACATCCTCCAGCTGTCGACTGGGCAACACACGCCTTACTGGTTGGATGTGTGTAAACCTAACTTGACCCACATTAACATGTCCACCTGTGATGAAGCTTTTATTCTGGAAGATATCTGTTCAGGACAAGACGTTGGGCTAATTAATGCTGGAAGGTAAGAGCTCATTTTTTCAGCAGCACTGGTAGAAGATGTTGTTGACCCAGAGGATGCGTATCAATGTTGTGAAACATATATTAAAATTACACAATCGTTGTGTGCAAATACATTACAAATCAAATCACACACTATAACACTAGCTACATTAATCCAATTTGAAACAGAGCTTTTTACTTAGGACTTCTAGACTTTAAAATGTTGACTGGATCATGAAAACAAGAAGAAACAAAACAGCACATCTTTACTCCTTTAAATCTATTTATCTGTTTGACTCTGTCCTTGTTTTTATCCAATGTGAAGAGAGAGTATGTCACCTAAAACAGCCCTAGTCACAAAAGCAGTTGTTATGTTTGTTTAGGCACAGGTGAAGATTGCACTTTACTCATTTGATTACAGTCTGGCCTTTGTAAAATGGGAGTCTGCAGCGTTGAAGCTCACTTCCAACCACTGGCCAGTGACCCCACAGCATCTGGCCTGACCTCCTGTGTAGGAATATCCTTAGCTGGACCGCAACATTTTTTCTTTTTCAACTCCCTTTCAACATCCAATGACGGCTAGCCTCTCTTCTTCTTTGATGGTTCTTGCCTTGCATGCAGAGTACCTGTGCAATAGATATTCTGAAAGCAAGCAAATCTCTCTTCTTCCTAGGGACACCCGCTGACTCACAATCACGTCACTACAACAACCAGCTGTTGACAATTACCATATCCACAAAGTGAAAAAAGAACCCATGGAAATATCTTTTTTTTTTACCTTATGTGGATGCAGTAATATGCAACTAGTGCATCAAGAGCATCAAGACCACCCATGAACTTGTTGTACAAGCAGATGATGCTTTAGCATTCCACAGACACTTGCTGTTTCAACTTCCTATCCTACCTTTCTACATTAGAAACAGGCAAAATTGTTGGTACCTATCACCCCTCTGTTGTAGAACCATGTGACTGCTCTCATCTCCACATTGTCTCCAACAGCCTTTTGCTCTTCAAATGTCCCTCTTCTGAACCACCAGAAGTGGTTCATCTCTGTGTCTGCACTAAAACTGCACCCTTCTAGGCGAATTTGCTATACAGTCCCAGGGGCCCCCATTTTGCAAATGTAACAAACAAATTCAAGGTGGAAAACCAGTTGTCAAAGTACAGCAGGTGATTGACAGCACTGTAAATAACGTGTGCTATGTTTCCACTTGCCCTAATGTCTGGTTTTCCTGGTGCAGGATGAATTCTCCCTGCAAGTATGTCAAATGAACGCACCAGGCCCACTGTGTCACAGAGCACAAAGATTTTGTATCCACATTTGTATGGCTCGTGGGGGATAAATTGCTTCAAACTTGATCTGCCTTTGAATGGCAGCATTTGCTCATCAACAGACAACATTGGAACATCACATCAGCCACGTGCTGTACTCCACATGCACTGGATCAGAACATTCTTGACCAGGGCAAAGTCAAAACACTCATGTCCACTCCAGTCTCAGTAAACTGCTCCAATTCTTTCTAATCCAATTTTAGAGCATGATTTCGATTTTGTTGGTTGCTTTGTCCCACAGTACTCTCCAAAAGATCAGCATCAAAAAAGTATCTGAAGTTTTGAATAGGCAGACCGATTGCATTAGCATCTGGAAGAGCACCTTGTCACATTAGGGTGGCTTGTGCAGAATTCTGCTGCTTCACTGACTGCCATGCTACCTTTTGTTTTGCTTTGTGTCTTTCTTATTGAGTTAAAGGTCGTGATTCATTTTCTTGAGAATGTCCCTTGTTTTAGTCAGAGCGGAGTGTCTATCAGATGCATAATGGGATGCCTAAACCTGAAGAAACCTAAATCCCCTCAAGTGAAACCAGGTCAAAGACCCTGCTAACAATTCTCAGGTGACCACCGACCCCTTTTCACAGGGGGAGGACCAACAGAAGCTATAAATTTCCGACTTTGGCCCCTGTCATATTAGAACTGAAAAAGTCTTTTGGAAGACAGGAGGAACATCTTCAAGAACCTCAAACATGTCCAGTTACCCTTTCAACAAAGAATTGGATTTGAATGTAAAGCTTTTACCTATTTTGCAGGACTGTTTGCTGTCCATCTGTGCAGCAGGTTTAGGTCATATAATATATAACTGGACTTGGGGGGAGGGTCCATGTCTGAGATGATACAGTCTATTACACAGACTGTCTCTTCTGATCCTTCCATTTAACACATATAGGCCAGAGGCTCCAAAGGGACGTACTTGTCTGTTTATGGTTCTGTCAGTGAAATTCCTCATGACAAGTGCAGCAGGGCTCAGGAGGGGCTCTTTGAACAAACATCTTTCTCCTCTGTGGTGTGTACAGTCATGTTCTGAGCTTGTCTGCGCGTTCAAATCTCCACACAGGAGGATTTGGCCTTGAACTTGATAGTTACATATTTCTATTCATGGGGAGTTACACAAGTCATGATATGGTGACTGATGAGTGATAAATGTGACTCTTTCTTACACACACATACACACATCTAGACACAAATATGCATGTCCTTATGCATACAGTCCCAGTATAAGTCTTAGCTGCTGGGATTGAAAATTTGCTCCCCCCTGCTTCATTGTGCAGCTTAGTGTTTCTTTACTTCTTTCTCTTCAGTGCAGAGCTATTTCATATTTATGAATGAAATACATCAATGTCCCATTACAAACATGCTACAGCTTCCTTTACATTGAAACAACCATCGAAACCAGCACATGGGTTTATTATTTCCTGTCATACCTGGCTGTAATCAAACTAAACCCAAACAATAAAACTGAAAAGGAGACAGAGTGAACTTGAGAATCCAGCAGACACCCAGGTCTATGCAAAATAGGATAATGAATAAAGATGAAGTTAACCAAACAAATGTTGTGCTGGTTTTGTGAGGAATGACTGTTTTAAACCTCTAAATACCCTGCTCGGATTAGGACATGTAGCTTCAAAGCTAGATGAGCAGTTTCTGTCATGTTGCATCATTTTGATTTGATTTTATGACTATCAAGATGCTCTGTCTGGTTTTATTCACTGGAAAGTTGAAATGACATTTTAAAGGCAAAAAGTTTTAACTTAATGGTCTAAAATCTGTAGAAACCACTGATCTACTTGTCTGCTAAAGGAATTTCTTCATGTGAAACATTTTTAATCCCCTCCTACTTTTATTCATCACTGAAGATTTTATGAGCTTCTCTGGTCAAACCCAGCTCATGAGGGAAAAGGACGCAACATAAAACCCTGGTTCAGTGATGTAAAAATAGTTATTATTGCAAAAAGAAATTATCAAGTACTGTTTAACATAAAATTGAGGTGAGGAACAGAGGTATGTGGAGTGCTGTTGAAGGTAACAAATAAACACAACAAAAGGCGACTCTAAACTAGAGTAGAAAAATGTCACTTTCTGAGATTAGTTTAAGACAGCAGTTAAAACTAAATAAGGGGTGAGAGCTCCCCACCCTTACAATTCCACAAAAATAAAAAAGAATAGATACACAATTTAATCGCCTCCTCACGAATGCCAACACAGAATTCCTGACAAAGGATTTCTGATGGGCTCCAATCAGCAGCCTCTTGAATTTGCCGCTCCTCCCTGATTGGTCCTGCAGACTCAGTCCATTAACCAATCAGCAGCTGGTTCCTGTAGTATCAACATCCTCTCACAGGCACACACAGACACTACCAAACAAGGTAAACGGGGCAACACATAAAGTACACACCCAGTGCGGTGGCCGGCTGTGGCTGTAACATTCTCCAAAACCATCTTCGTCTCTGAGATCCTCTTGCACAATATAGATCCGACCTTACATCATTTTCTCTCAGGACAACAGCTGAAATTTGATTTGTGCCATTCTCAGAAAGCATCAGAGCTAGACCAACAAAGTGTTCATGATACTGGTAATAACACTGGTTTCAGAGGGAAAATGTACTACTTCCTGAGCAGGAACTTTTCAGGGCATAACTCTTCTATCTCAGAACTAAATTTAGACCCCAGTTCCTCTGGTCCTATGTTTTGAGGTAAGGTTCACAGTTCCTGAGGGAAACCCTCCTTTGCTTTCATGAGAGACATTTGAAGTTGTAGATATAATGATAAGCTTGACATTTAAATGCAATGTCAGAAACAGCCACAGTAAAATACTCTGTTAAGGTTAAAATGATCACAGCCCCTATTAGGGAATGGTTTGACAGGTGGTAGCTATAGACCACCTCCCTCTCTTCAGAATCAAAATCAGAATCAGAAGGGGTTTTATTGCCATTGTCGATGAACAGGATTCACAGACTAGGAATTTGTGGCGTGATGGTGCAACAATAAACAGAGAGAAATTTAAGAACTAGAATAAAAACTAATAAGAGCATGCAAGAAATATATAAAGTATAAAAATATAAAAGTATAAAAGGTTATGTACAATGCTATGAGCATGAAGTATAAAAGGCTATGTACAACTAAACAATCTAGAACAACAGTGCAGTGGGAGGAGTGCAATTAAAAAATCCAAAGTACATTAAACTAAAGTGACCAGTGATAAAAGTGACGGAGTTAAAGTGACTGAGTTATAAAGTGTTCATGAGTCTAACGGCAGAGGGGAAGAAACTGTTTTTATGGCTGGAGGTTCTGGTCCGAATGGACCGTAGCCTCCTGCCCGAGGGGAGTGACTCAAATAGTCCATGTGCAGGGTGAGAAGGGTCAGCTGTGATCCGACCTGCTCGGCCCCGAGTCCTGGAGACGTACAGGTCATGGAGGGATGGAAGGCTACAGCCGATCACCTTCTCGGCAGAGCCCACAATGTGCTGCAGTCTGTGTCTGTCCCTGACAGTGGCCCCGGCATACCACACCGTGATGGAGGAGCTGAGGATGGACTCAGTGATGGCCGTGTAGAACTGCACCATCAGCTGGACCGGCAGCTTGGCTTTCCTCAGCTGCCGCAGGAAGTACATCCTCTGCTGGGCCTTCTTGATGAGGGAGCTGATGGTTGGCTCCCACTTGAGGTCCTGGGTGATGGTGGTGCTGAGGAAGCGGTAACAGTCCACAGTGGTGATGGGGGAGTCGGTGAGGTCGAGGGAGGGCAGGGGGGCTGTGGCTTTCCTGAAGTCCACAATCATCTCCACTGTCTTCTGGGTGTTGAGCTCTAGATTGTTGCTGCAGCACCAGGTCACCAGCCGGTCCACCTCCATCCTGTAGGCAGACTCATCTACATCCAAAATGAGTCAGATGAGGGTGGTGTCATCCGCAAACTTGATGAGCTTTACGGGGTCATGGTTGGAGGGGCAGCAGTTGGTGTACAGGGAGAAGAGCAGAGGGGAAAGTACACAGCCCTGTGGAGATCCTGTGCTGAGAGCCAGAGTGTCCGAGACATTCCTCCCCAGCTGCACATACTGACTCCGGTCCGTCAGGAAGTCTGTGATCCTGCAGGTGGAGTCAGGCACATGGAGCAGGGAAAGCTTGTCCTGGAGCAAAGCAGGAAGGATGGTGTTGAATGCAGAGCTGAAGTCCACGAACAGGATCCATGTGTAGGTTCCTGGGGAGTCCAGGTGCTGCAGGATGAAGTGCAGAGACAGGTTTATGGCATCGTCTACAGACCTGTTGGCTCTGTAGGCAAACTGCAGAGGGTCGGTGATGGACTTCAGGTTGAATAGAACCAGGCGTTCAAAGGTCTTCATGACTACAGACGTAAGAGCCACCGTCCTGTAGTCATTAAGTCCAGTTATGCAAGGTTTCTTGGGGACGGGAACAATGATGGAGGACTTGAAACAGGCTGGAACATGGCATGACTCCAGGGAGGTGTTGAAGATCCCCGTAAGTACTGGAGCTAGCTCGTCAGCGCAGTGTCTCAGAGTGGCAGGAGAGACACAGTCCGGGCCAGCAGCCTTGTGTGGACTCAGCCGCTTAAACACTCTGTTAACTTCCTCTTCATGGACCGAGAGGGCAGCTGGGGGAGGAGGGAGGTCCAGAGTGGTTGGATTTCCAGTTGTGTGATCTCTGTACATCCAAGTACAGAGATCACTGTCACGTTGGAGCACCAGGCATTGTTGATGTAGAAGCAGACTCCTCCATCTTTTGTTTTCCCACCGGAGAGTACACAATCTCTGTCTGCGCGGAGGAGCTGAAATCCCTCCAGTTGTATGGCGCAGTCCGGTGTCTGTGCATTTAGCCACGTCTCCGTAAAGCACAGAACACAAGATGAGGAGAAGTCTCTATTCCTCTTTATCAGCAGTGCTAGCTCATCCATCTTGTTGCTGAGTGAGCGGACGTTGGAGAGGAATATCCCAGGTAAGGGCGTACGCGTGCCTCGCTGTCTGAGACGCGCGAGCACCCCAGCTCGCTTTCCCCTTCGCCAGTTAAGCAGCAGATGCTAAAAAAACTGGCGTAATATCTGTAGGTGTAGTTGTGGCTGTAGCTTATTAGATGAAGTGGCTGTAGCTCTTCATCCTTTCTGGATCAGTCTTTGCTAGTTCTGCTTTTTACACTGTCCACTCCACTAGTGGAAACATAAGGAGGTATTTGCAGACCACAGATGTTTCTCAGGTAGGGCAGCTCCTCCAGGATGGCACATCCACATGCAAGTAGGCCACAAGGTTTGCTGTGTCTCTAAGCCCATTGTCAAGAGCGTGGAAGAAATACCAAGAGACAGTTTGGTACACTAGGAGAGGGAGACTGTAGAATAGAATAGAATAGAATAGAATATTCCTTTATTGATCCCCCATGGGGGAAATTTTTTTGCCACAGCAGCATCACAGACAAAGGTAGTGCAAAATGCAGTTATGAAAATAAAGATCGTAATATTAAGAACTTAAATAAATATTATAATGAAGAAAAAAAATAGAAAAAGGAAAAAGGGGGAAAATAAAATAAAATAAAACTATATACAATATACACAATTTAAGTTCAGAAAAAAGTAGTGGTGTGAGTCCATTTCTATTACAGTTCGTTGTAAAGACTTATTGCAGAAGGGAGGAATGACCTGCGGTAGCGCTCCATCTTGCAAGGTGGAAGTCTCAGTCTGCTGCTGAAGGAGCTTCTTAAAGCCCCCACAGTCTGGTGCAGCCTGGTCAGCTGTTATGGAGAGGCTGGGGGTGGTACTGGAGGGGGTGGTGGAGGATGAGTGGAGGGGGGTTGATGATGCCGGTGCCATGGAACTGAGGTGATGTGAAGAAGAAGCAGCAGATAGGTCATTGGTTTGATGAGTCGGGGGAGGAGTGGGAGCAGAGTCAAATCTATTGAAGAACAGATTCAGCTCGTTGGCCCACTCCCTGTCTCCTGCTCCAGGTCCCCTCTCATGGCCCCTGCTATGACCTGAGATGGATTTCAGGCCTCTCCAGACCTCCCTTGCGTTGTTCTGTTGCAAAAGGTTTTCCATCTTGGTCTTGTAGCTGGCCTTTCCCTCTCTGATCTTCTTCTTCAGCTCCTTCTGCACCCTCCTCAGCTCCTCCTTGTCCCCAGATTTAAAGACCCTCCTCTTCTCCTTCTGGAGGACTTTAAGTTCCGGGGTCACCCAGGGTTTGCTGTTGGAGAAACACCGGACTTTCCTGGTGGGTACGTTGTTCTCAACACAGAAGTTTATATAGTCCGTGATACAGTCTGTCATGGTGCCGATGTCATCACCATGTGGGCCGCACAGTACATCCCAGTTTGTGGTCTCAAAACAGTCCTGCAGCGCCTCAGTGGCCTCCTCAGATCATCTCTTGTCGGGCATTCCACATACTGGCTGAAGGTAGGGAGAGTGGAGGACAGCGATGCATGATTAAAGTCTCCAGAGATGATGATCAGAGACTGAGGGTGCGATGTTTGTAGCTTGGACACTTCACTATAGAGGAGTTCACAGGCTGCAGCAGCATCAGCCGAGGGGGGGATGTAAACAGTTAACGCAATGACGTGCGAAAACTCCCTCAGCAGGTAATATGACCGCAAACTCACAGCCAGCAGCTCAATGTCCTTAGAGCAGCACTGCTCTTTAACACTGACGTGCCCAGCATTACACCATCTCTCATTCACATACACCGCTATCTCGCCTGCTTTCTTCTTACCACTCTCCCTCACGCTCCAGTCCGCTCTGACGAGGTGAAATCCGTCCAAAGTTACGAGCGGGTCCGGAGTGAGTTCGTTCAGCCATGACTCTGTGAACATCATGAGGCTGCACTCCTGGTACTCCCACTGCAGCCGAGTCTGCACTGTGAGCTCTTCCATCTTATTGGGGAGAGACCTCACGTTTCCCATGATGATGGACAGTTGGCTTATAACGTCTCCGCTTTGTCCAATGCTGAACTCCGGCTCTGCATCCTCTCCTTCTCCTGCGGAGCTTAGCGGGGATGTCCGGTCTCTCCCACGAAGATGGCCGGGCTTGGCGCAGCGCCAACAACTGTTCCAGCTGTACACAATAGAGCCGTTGAACGGGTCGCCAGACACGGACTTGAAAACTCCAAAAAGTAAAAGAAAACAAAGTGCCAGAGTCATGAAATGCACATCCATGATTGGAATATGCAAAACACAACACTGCTAAATAAAAAGAAAGACAAATAATGTGCAAAAAACAACAATAAGAAGGCAAAAACGTAAAGTCTGTGAGGAGCTGCTGTGAATTGCTGCAACTCTCAGGGCGCTCAGTTACAGCGCCCTGAGAGGGGGCAAAATGACCTCCAGCAGACCACTTGTGTACATGTTTCTGACCAAACTGTCAAAAACAGACTCCATGAGGGCACCACAACTACAACTGGTGCCTCTGCTCACAGCCCACCACCGTGCAGCCTGATTGGCATTTACCAGTGAAAAGCAGAACTGGCAGATTGGCTGTTAGCGCCCTGTTCTGCAGTGGACCCTGGGTTCCTTCTTGTCCATGACAAAGCCTGATCTCATGTGGCTGGAGTGTGTCAGCAGTTCCTGGATAATAAAGGCATTGATGCTATTGGCTGGCCTGTCTGTTCCTCAGACCTCAATCCTATCCAGCACCTCTGGGGCATCATATATCTCTGAATTCACAGCTGCCACATCATACTACAGACTGTCCAGAAGTAGACCAATGCCCTGATCCAGGTCTGAGAGGAAGATCCTACAGGAGACCATCATTCATCTCATCAGGAGCATGCTCAGACATTATAGGGAGTTCACACAGGCATGAGTAGGTCTAACACACTACTGAATCACATTCTGAGTGGTCTTAAGAAAAGTTGGGGCAGCCTGGGATCTTATTTTCCACCCTGATTCTGATTCTGAATCCAGTCCTCGATTTTGGTTTCCACTGATCATTTTTACATTATTCTGTTCTCAATGAATTACCCTACATAATCAATGAGGATCTTTTCACTGGAGTATCTCATTCATCAAGATCTAATAATTTGTTATGTGACCAACCCTTTGACCACAAATCTGGTCACAGCTCGGTGACATTCGTTTATCTTTGCCTCTGTCATTTTACTCTTCCCAGCCTAGATGAAAGGGGCTGCCAAAGATGGTCATAACCCAAAGAACTACCTGCTGCAACCTCTCTGCTAGCATGACTCTGGCAGTCATCATCATCTAAATGTAAATCATGGAGATGGAGAGTATTTATATAGTGAAAAGGGGTTAACATGGCGCTAACATCTACACAACAGACATGACCAGGAGGAGTTAAACGTTACCTTCAGCATTAAAAGCTGATGACTCCGAGAGGTCAGCTCTGCCCCTGCTTTTGCCTGGACCAGTCTTGCCTTTTCTAAGTAGCGTATCAAACACTTCCGCAAATTGATTGCATGCTGGGTCGACAAATGTTTCCCCATATCAGAAGTATTCCCCCCTTATACAAAATTAAAGCTTTGAAAGTGATGCAAGTAGCCCTGGTATCATCTTTTCACGTGAAATACGGCCAAACTCTGGAGTGCTTTTGTCTCGCTGCCATGCTGGAAAGTTCTGAACCAAAACACACTTCTATCGTACTGCGTCATCATACACAGAGACGTCAGTGGAACCGATAAGCAGAATTGTTAAGAAAGCAGACAAACAATTCTTAGGAATCAAATCACTGGAAACTGGTTCTAAAAAAAGGTTATCGATTCTCATCCGTAAGTGTAGAGTCCTGATGGGGGCAGACAAGACTGGGGAATCCCTGAAAAGACTCTTTGGTGCCTATAACCATACAGTAACCGACAAAGGTTGGTTTAATATCAGGATACTAAACATATCAGTATGAGGTCTGGTGTGTTTGGCCTTAATGGCTTTGTTCATTGTGGATATTCATCAACTACAAGGGTATATGAACAAGGTTCTGGCAAAATCACTTAGGCCTTCCTGTTGAACATGAATCACTGTCCTCACCTGTCTGAGTACGATCATTAGCACAAAGAATACTTAGTCTTTGTCTATTTATTTCTTTATAGGAAATCTTTCCCTTCCCAACATGCCACTCTGGCTGCCTTTGCCGCTGTCTACATTTCAGTAAGTTGCTGGTGTGCTCACATGTATAGTATGAGACTTCACCCCAAATTTTACATCAGAAATCAAGAACATTTGTTGTTGCTTAAAGTTATATGTAACCTATACATAATTAAATATATAAGTAATAAGAAATAACCTGATTGGGTAAATTGAAATTGTATCAGTTGACTTTGATTTTTATGTCAGCTGTGGAAATATCTGCTTTGAGTAAAGGAATTAAAGATTAACGGATCATGTGCAATCGTGTTTGTTTTTCAGATGTACTTCAACACGTTGCTCACAGACTCCGCCAAGCTCTTAAAGCCTGTCCTGGTATTTTCTTTTGTCATGCTGGCCATTCTGGCAGGGTTAACCAGGATCATTCAGTTCAGAAACCATCCTGTCGATGTCTACTGTGGATGGTTACTGGGAGCTGCCATTGCCATTTACCTGGTAAGACACTTAGCCAGTCACAGCAGAACAAGACTTATTCAGGTCAGAAGTGCTGTTATCAGTGAGATGCACCATTACTGGCAAGTTAATGAAGCAGAATTCAAAAGCTATGCACTGTAGTTCTATTGCAGTAGATTTCATTTACCGTTTCATTCACCACAACTCTTTCTACTGATACTGATGCTCAGTTCTTGCAGAAAAACTGGTATTCCTAAAGCACATTGGATAACTCCTACACACAATCATCCTCAAACCCACACAAGGATAGAAGTGTTAAAGCATGGGCAGAACTAACACAGTTACACTTCTAAGCAGAAATGTACAATTAGCACACTAATACACTTACTCTCACCCACACTTGTATGCAAAAAACACACATGCTTATGCACAAATACATGCACGTATGCATGTGTGGGCATTTCATACAGAAGTAGTAATTAAAAGTCATTCTGAAATAGTCAATGAGAAACTGTTGCATAAATGCCCTCACCCTTTTCAAATAGCTGTGGTGAACTTATGTATGCTCTTCTACCATAAAAAGTTTACAGTTGACCTGAATTTTGTGTTTTTTTTATTTTTAGAGACTTTTTAGAGAATTTTTGAAGTCTCCCCCCTATTTGTTCTGATTTTTGGTGATACCTTATCTTGTCCTGAACATGTACAGGTTGTGTTTCCTGACCATAAAGTGTCATCTTTTGAAATATTTAATATGAACTTGAAAAAAGGAAAATAAAGGGTGTCTTTGCTGTGCTGTTTGCTGGCTTCTTAGACATAAACCCTGCTGTTCAAAGTTTACAAAATGAAAACTTCAATCTTTTTGTCTTGGTCTCATTGTTGGTCTAGTTTGCCTTTGGTGGGTCTAACAGGGAATGACTAAATTTTAGTTTTATTCATAAATAGTTAAAAACTCATTGTTTGTATTTAATAATAATAATGAGAATGTCTAATGCATCAGCTGGTCTATAGAGGCATGTCAGAAAGCTGTGTGAATGCTTGTGTGCTCAGAGCGTACCAGAGCTTGTTATCACATACGTTTGCTGACCCATTTCTGCTTGAGCTGTCAGATCAATAAGTGAATTTAGCCGAATTGTTCTAGTATCTGGTCCAGTCTATGTTCTCTCTTTAACTTTAACTACATCAGTTAAATATTTAGAAAGGGGCTATTTCAAGCACAGAAAGGCTGTAAAATTTAAAGCAATCATAAATCAGCGCCACTCTTTCTTCGTCCGCTTAAGTGTTATTTTGCTGCATGTTTCTTTTTATCTCTCCTGTGTGTGTGTGTGTGTGTGTGTGTGTGTGTGTGTGTGTGTGTGTGTGTGTGTGTGTGTGTGTGTGTGTGTGTGTGTGTGTGTGCGTGTGTGTGTGTGTGTGTGTTGAATGCAGGGTGTGTATGCCGTGGGGAATTTCCAGCCAAGTAAGGATCGGTCCAGACGACGACCATCTCCCCCCAGCTTGAGAGAGCCCCCCCTCTCCTCCCTTCCTAACGTCAGCCAGTCAGCAATAACTAACAGCCACCCAGGTAAAACCCCTCCTAACCAGAGTCTTAACTGACTCTGTCATTTACTGCTATTAGGCGATAAACCAACACTTTGATGTTCAAAAGATATGTCTGTAAGTTGATTTTTATTCCTGAAAATTAATGTTTGAGCAGGAAAGTTTGTTTGGAGTAAGCTCCATAGTTTTTGTAGACTCCAAATTTTCTTTAATGTTCTCCAGACCCTTTATGAAGATAAGATGCCACATGTTTCAGCCTGTAATCCCTCAATCTTAAATAGTTCAGGTGTTTTTTGTGGTGTAAAAACTTAACTGAGAGACAGGGAGGAATGAGTCATTGTACTTCTAAACAATACAAGATTGATTTTTTAAAATGGGCATCATGTGTTGTTTTAACACTGCTTTGATACGACAACGAACTCAGCCCCTGCTTTTCCTTTTGAGACGTACTCAGATGCTCTGGAGAAAATGCTGACATGTTGTCTCCAGAAGATGCTTTAGTGGTTCAAACTGTTAGAGGCAGTTAGACCTCACTCCTTGCTCTGTTCATAGGTCACCTCACCCTGGTTCCCAGCCAACCAGAACCAATCATCACCAGGACTTCTTCACACGCCCTCTCCCCCAACCGACCAGAACCCATCCTGACAAGGAGTGCCTCCTACCGAGAGCCGTCCATGTCCAATCTAAAGAGGGCCAGTGCTGAAGTGGAGGTCATAACCCCATCAAGCCCACTTGGCAACCATGAAAACATGATGGCCTTTAGCAGCAGCACACTGCCACGGTGAATGTAGTTCAATTATTTTTTTACATTGGAGTGTGAAATTCAGTGCTCACCCTTGGATACTATTTTGCTAACAGCTGTGAAACCAGGACTACATATAGCACGCTGTACCAGCCACTGCAGTTAAAGGGATATTCCGGCATAAAATTAAGTTAGGGTCAAACACATGGTAACACCGAGTTAGACACCCCATCGAGGGATGAATGTTGCCGACCGCTTGCTTCTCTAGTTATACCAAATTTAGTAATGACCACAGATAGCAATACACAGAGCCTCGCGCTCAATCAAAAAGCCACTCTAGCCACAAATAATGCTCAGAACAGCACCTAACTTCATCAACAGTACATATAGGGTCCCAGCCATAGTACCAGCCACCAAACATCTTTTTAGCTTTGCCTGATTTCTTAAGCAAAGAGACTAAACACAATTCACCGTCTCTCTCCCAGAGGCTGCTTGTTTGTACCAAGACCTCCGGGCTAGTCCATCGACTGCAGCGGGGTGACGCAGCTCAAGGAAGAACATTTATAGTCATTACTTTATTATTTCCTTGAATTAATAATCATCATATTAATCATTTTGCACTGCAGTCGGGTAGTTCTTCTGCTTTAGCGTCTCTGTCTGTTTGCATTTCCATGAAGTAATAATCATAAATGTTTTTCCTTGAGCTGTGCCCCCCCCCCCCCCCCCTGCAGTCGATGGACTCGCCCTGAGGTCTTGGTACAAACAAGCGGCTGCTGGAAGAGAGACGGGGAGTTGTGTTTGGTCTCTTTGCTAAAGAAATCTGGCAAAGCTAAAAGGTGTTTGGTGGCTAGTGCTGTGGCTGGGACCCTATATGTACTGTTGATGAAGTTAGGTGCTGTTCTGAGCATTATTTGTGGCTTAAGAGTGGCTTTGTGGTTGAGCACGTGGCTCTGTATATTGCTATGTGCGGTTGTTACTAAAGTTGGTATAACTAGAGAAGCAAGCGGACAGCAACATTCATCTCTCGACAGGGTGTCTAACCCGGTGTTACTGTGTGTTTATCTTTAATTTTATGCCGGAATATCCCTTTAATAAGTGCAGTGCCTAGGTAGATCACATTCATGACTGTTACTTAATTCATGGTCTGGAGAGATTATTGCTATCCAGGTCCATACAAGAAGTGAGAGTCTAGGATTAACCATTTTCAAAGAACTTTCACGAAATGTCTGAAGCAAGCATGGACAGTGCTCACATTTCTATCAAATGAAAGTTGATAGCGAATAATGAAATTTACGTCTATCCAAGTGCCAAATACAGGCAGATCTGGGGAGTTAATTTCAGAGATCACACACCACATCATGGACAAATACTTGTAGCCATCTCATTTAGAAATCATCTTCCCATCATCATATATTTCTTTGTACAGTTCCCATGGAGGATCCTCATATGAGGAAGGTCGCATTCCCCGACGTCACGCCTCCATCCATGCCTCAATGGATTCAACCCGATCCAAACAGCTGCTAAGCCAGTGGAAGAATAAAAATGACAATCGGAAGCTTTCTCTACAAGTGATGGATGGAATAAGACCTGCCTCCTCCTCATCCCCACAGAGGAACATGGAGCTGCGCTGCTCCTCTGAACCATCTGCCATGGGCCTTGAAGCAGAGCTCCGAGCAGGAACACATCTACCTTCAGTCATCAGTCAGGAAGCAGAGCTGCGTGCTGGAGCCCACATTCCAGCTCAGTACATGAAACTTGCCACAAGCACTGCTGGTCACAATCACCTGGCCCACAATGGCAGTACTGGATTGACTGGTGGAGCCAGAGTGTCTATTCAGTCTAGGCCTGGATCTTCCCAGCTTGTTCACATTCCTGAAGAGGAAAACCCCAACTGCAGGGATCAGGAGAGTGAATCAGAGGACAGCATTATGGATGGGGGTGGATCAGTCAGAGAAAAGTGGCTTAGAGTGGCTGAGAAGACCACCATCCCCTGTAGGCCTCTAAGTGCTGGAGGACAGCCTCGCTTGATGCAGGTAAACCATCAACCTTTCCCTGTAGATCTATTGATACATGGCTGCTTCCTACTCCACATATAAGCAAGGATCATTGTAGCATGTCACAACTTTATACTTCTTCTGATTTCCTCTCTGCCTTTGTATAAGGCTTGTTTTAAACAGGGTATACATATTTTTACTCATCAGTATTTATCCATTTTCTATTTTGTGCCAGTTAATTACCTGACTGAGAAGTCTGTCCTAGTTGAAGACCCACGCAGATGAAAATCATGTTTTTCTTGTTGTCTACATGTTCATATGGCATTTTTTTATGCTAGAGGACATATCAAGAGAAAAATAAGATCTGAGCATTCCTCATTCAAATCACTGTGAACCTCTGGCAGACCTTAACAGCAGATTCAGACACAGTGGGATTTTCTACGTCACAAGCCTAAGCTCCGCCCTCAGCACCTCGCAGGCCAGACCCGAGAAGTAGAGAGGATGATTGGGAAACAAGTGTGTGCGCTAGATAACGGATTGCAGTGCTCATAAGAAAGCTAATTAGCTTTCATCACGCCCCCAAAGACATTAGTGTCCGAGAGCTGCACACATTTGTGCTTTTTCCAGCTGAGCTTGTCATCAACACCTAAGAACCTGACAAAGGAGAAATGTTCACTCTATACATGCAAGCTATTAATTGTGTTCATAACAAAAAATATTAGTATCATCTGCAAATAAAATGAAAAGAGCTTTATTAAAATCCAAGTTATTGATCTATATAAGGAATAAAAGAGGTCCAAGTATGGAGCCCTGAGGCACACCACATCATATTTGACTATAATTTCAATTTGCTCTATCCAACTGACATATTGTTTCTTGTCTAAAGGTAGCTGTTAAACCAGGTAAGCTGAATTCCACTAACAGTGTGAGACTGAAGCTTAGTTGTTATTGTGTCTTTGCTGTGTCAAAGGCTTCAGATAAATCAGTAAATACCCCCACTTTTGTTTAGAGCTGTTGTTATTTCATCAGCCAGTCCGAATAAAGCTATAGTGGTAGAATGCTTTTAACGAAATCCACATTGATTAATTGACAATACCATCATCACTCGTGGACAAAGTACACAATGTCATCCCTTGAGTCAAACTAATGTTTAGCTTGACACTCCTTCTAAGGTTGGACAGCAACCTTTTGTTGGCCATGAGGAAGTTTGTAGATGCAACCGAGGAAACCCTTAAATGAAACAAGTTATCCTTCAAAATGCTCAAACATTGGTTTGAAATCAAGCCAGGAGTGCTCAGGTGGAAAATAGTCATTCAATCAACTGCCTGCTGTGAGTGATGTTTACTCTACATTTACCCCTCAACCTATAGGCAGCAAATATGTTTCATTATCACCCCCTATTTTTCAGGTGATAGCCTTATCCAAACAGCAGGGCCTGCTCCACTCTCCTAGATCAGAAGATGGAGGCAGCACCGTGAGCTGCACTGGATCCATTCGGTACCGAGCCTTGACTGACCAGGATCCATCGCCCCCAGCCTCAACCACAGGAGCAATGAGCGGAGGAGGAGGTGTGTACTGTGGATAGAGTTATACTTATTCTCTTAAATGGTTTGAAGATCAACATGAAGGTTGAATCGGCTCTACATCAGTCAATAGAGTCTTCACACTGTCCTTCTGTGGAACATCATTATGACAAAGAATACATACACCTGTATTTTCAGAAGATCGTAGTTTTAACAGAACAGGTATGAAGTTATAGTTATTATTTTCAGCTGGAGACCAGGTTTCATTCTCTGGTTTCTCTCTTTAGACTCACCTTTATATCTCTGGCAACCAATAAGATGTTAGGATAAATTCCTTCCTAAAATGATCAGCTTTTTTTCACGAAAGCAGGTTTTCTTCTGTCTTTACCTCTGTTGACGTCAACAGTCTTTCAAAACAGCCTGACTCTGCTACAACTTGAGCTGTTGCATAAATTCACAAATTTATAAATTCACAAGTTGTGTAAATTTATAGTGAGATACAATAACCAAGCAAAAATACTATAATTGTGTTATTTACCTGAGCAGACATTGAAAGCTGCTTCATTTCCAAAAAGCGTTGTTACTTGCATCCTCAGGGCGCTTCCTCTTAACAGAAGGATACTCTCAGTCTCGTCTTTCAAAGGTGTCCACTGCTCTCTTTTCCTCAGGCTGCAGATTTTCATAAGGCTCTAATTTTTGTTAATGCCAGCTGCCAGATTGAGTCTGTTTGGCTTTTTATATGATCGCTCATAGTTATACTTTATTTGATTGGCTTGCATGTGGCACGCAGCTTCTAAACTCTCTGGGGAACTCACTTAATTCCTACCTGTTCCGTTATTAAAGAGGTGCAACTTGGTGGACGTCACCGTGGTAATTTAAATGCGTGAGAATTACAATGTGTGGCATGTGAGTGCGTAAACAGGTGGAAATGCGTGTGTCACAAGCCGAATGCGTGAAACTTGAGAGCCCTGTTAGCTAGTTTTGACTTCCTACCTCAGACTATAAACACAGTTCTTTCTGCCATCCTTCAGGATGACACTGAGAAAGAGGAGCAGGTATGGTGATGACAGTGGTTGCAGATTCATGATTGGTTTAAAAATTGGAATAGACAAGGATATAACTGATTTTGACAGTCCTAGTCAAGTTGTTTTAGGATTTTAACAAAGAAAACAATCAATTTCAAGATGATTTATTTTTCTCTTTTCTTTATATTTACTGTAAGTTTACGGATAGTCCGTCATCTGTTCCGTTTTCTTATACTTTCAGGGGGAGGTTTGGAAAGAACTGGCAGCATTATCCGTGTTGAAGCCCACCCAGAGTCCAGATCAAACAAACCTGTGGTGAAACCTCCGAGCACTGATGGGAGTGGCTCCTGGCGTTGGAAACCACCAGAACAGCGAGCTTCATTGCGACAATCAGCTCTGAACCTTAATGACCTGAACCGAAACACAGACAGCTATGATTCATTAAGGGATGGAGGCTGTGTGGACGGGCGGAGGAGCATGACAAGCACTGAAATGGAGATTGTTGCTGGTGGAGATGGAGGAACAGGAGGAGGTGGGATGGGAGAGGGAGGAGGAGGCAATGTATATACAAGCCATCCACATGTTGTACACCCTCTGCATTCCTTACATCCAAATAACCCAAACAACTTCCAGCACCCCGGTTTTAACCCCAACAATCCTAATAATCTGGTTTTTAACAACACTCACTTTAACCCCAACCCCAACTCCAACATGCCCTTCACCCAGACTGACAATATTACAACTCCCTTCCACCCTCACCCTCAGGCCATCACCACCATAAGGGTTACTCCTGTGGAGGGGACAGCGGCCAGCAGTGATGGTGGCTCAGACTGCCAGTCAGTGGCCTCATCGAGCCGTGAGTCCACCCTGAGGAGGCAGAGTGGCTCACACATTGTCCAGGTACCTGATCGTATTCCCATTGCTGACCTTCACAACAACCACCGTCTCTGTGATGAAAATGAAAGCAGCAACCGTTTCCAGGAAAACCTAAGAAGCTTTCAAGAAAACTCTATCCACCTCAACCACCCCAACAGGCAGTTTCAAGGGATGTTTGGCCGTCCAAGCCCAACCCCTCCCCCTACCTTACCCCGCCCCATCATGACTCAAACTCCCCCTCCGAATTTAGGGCTGGCCTATAAAGAATGACCTGCTCAGTGGTAGGATCTTCATCTTTTTGCATCTGTGATAAAGATTTTTGCTACTTGATCAGAACAAAGTTTCAATGGAGATTTGGTTAAATCTGCCAGCACATACGGTCAGCTGATATGGGATGGTCAAAACCTTCCAGCCTCCCAATTGGCTGCTCTGTCCACTAAAGCACCCCCACTGGTTTAGTACCTAACTGAGCAGATATGTTGTCTTACTGCAGGATCAGTATAACCTACGAGCAATACATCTATTTCTTTGAATCATAAGCCATACAAACAAAATTACTTCTGCCCCCATTCTCCAACCCGCCATTTAAAGAGGACAATGGCCAAGGCTCAGTATAAGGGCTGAGTTTGATTCATTGATCAGCTTTTTTCTCTTCTTTTCTTTTTATTGAATCTTGGACTACAGACACAACCAGCTTTTTTAACTAGAGTGAGTTCACATAAACGCAGACTCATTCTTTCTAAATACTCGCTGTCAGTTAAGATGGGTACAGCCTGGTGATTCTGTTTTCCTATAACTGCTGGTTTAGCTGTGAATGGACCAACATTATTGTCCCAAAATTTGTACACAAGTTTTACATTCATAAACTTTATATAAAAAACCCACATGCCATTATGTATAAAATTTCAGAAGCTAAAACAGTGCTGTGTTTGTGTGTGTTCGTTGGTGATCACTGTGGAAATCAGACCACGGTTTAACTGGGCTACAAGATGTTTAATTTGACTGTGATAATATCTATTGCTTCATGGTGGTATATATTTGTGTCATTCAGAACAATATAATGGCAAATATATTGTGGTTTAAATATAGTAAAACAGGGCTACATTTTTTAAACTATGATATTTTGTTGTAATTGTGCAGTATATGAGTTATGCAAAATGTGTAGTAGTTGAAGCATACACTAACACATGCAGCATGGGAATCATCTGAACTAAAGGTCATATAAGCACAAATACTGACGCTGAAGATGTGTTTTTATTTTCTTTGTTTGACTCACACTTTCAATCAATCTTGTCTCCAAGCATTTCAGTGTGAGCAGCTGTGAGATTACAGAGAACGATCATCAGAGGAGTACCATTTCAAAGACATTCGCTGACATTTTCAGACTGAAATTGTTTTGATTAATTTTTAGTTTAATGTAAAAAGAACATATTATATCAAAGAATAGTCCTAATTTTACAAAGAATGAACATATCACTATCAAATGAATTTAAATAAAGAAAATTATAGAGCGAAAATACAATATGTATTCTGAAAAACACAGTGAATATTTTGTACCCAAAACCCAGATTGTCAAAACAGAGTGTTATGATAAAGGAAAGTTTTATATTACAAGAATACAGTACGCACATGTACACAGTACAAAGACAGTAGTACATTCAGTAATACAGGGTTACTTATGAGGATATGATCAGCATTGACAAAAAATAATGTCCATTTTTGATTGTGCTTAAGAATAATGGCAATTTACTGTCAAAGTCATTTACAACTAAAAGGCATGAAAAAACAAAAAATATTTTTTTCAGGTGAAGAAAAGTAGTTCATGTTTAAAAGGTTAAGGAATGTCATGATGCCACAGTCACTGTTTTAAAAAGTTAAACCATGAAAAAGTGAGGATTTTAGGAATATATCCAGGAATATATTAAAGAAAATATATGTGATAGCATAATAACTCTGTAAAGTTTATTAGCTTTTTATAAAGTAGAAATCACTTTTATGGTTGCAGCATGATGAAGGAGGTTGTTTCATGTATCTGCATGTCTTTCCTAAAAAAACAACCCGCACACACGAAACAGACCTGCGATTGGACCTGACAGGCTGCTTTCTCCTGTTTATTACTACTTATAATTCTTGTAGAAATATTTTAAGAAAACCTCAAAATTGATATCTTGTCACAATATTTTTAAATGATTCAACTTGATTAACATAACATTGTGTTTTTTTTTTTATTCAACTTTTTATGAATATTCAGATTTTAATATGAAGATTTATATTCATGTGCACCGAGAACTTTATTCTTACTACATGGCTTTTTCCTCTAATTTTGTCCTAAGATCAGTAAGTTAGGTGCCCTTAACAGCAGCTCTATTTTATAACCCAGTTTTTCATTCTGACTATATTTTTGAATCACTGTTGCATGTGCTCCGAAGGTAGAGTACACTCTGATATTGCCGTTCCATGAATGTTGCTGTAGTATTAATCAAACATAAATGCTTCAAATGATCTGTTTACTGGTTTCCATACTTACCATTTTCTTAGCCCAGTGTTTACACTCTCTAACTAAGTGCCCAAGTGCCATCACAAAGCAAAGTTATGTGACTGTGGGCTAGTCACATAGTCTGTATATGGATCATGTGAAAGCGCGGGACAAAACCTACCGTCAGGATCAATGTTTGATGACAATATGCCTGGATACACAAAGATTCTCTCATTCGGATCCTGTTGCTGATAACAAAGCACAAATACTGACAGTCTTGAGTCTGTGTTAGTGACTGTGTACAGATAAACTGATCTATATAACTTATATAACCTCTCACTTGGGGTGAGAGGGGGAGGTTGCATTCATCTGTATGAAGATTTAGGTGATGATGTGTTTGGGATGCTGCTGCTGCTGTTATTGGCATTGTATAAAGTTATTAATGTGTTGATGTTTTTTAATGGAGAGGTTGGTGTAGAGGACTTTAAACTTGCTATTTTAGTCGTTTCACATGTATCATAGGCCGTATTTATTACACAAGCTAATTTATGAAAAATATTTGGTTGAATGTGACCGATGACTTTAATTGACAGTCAGGTCCTTTGATTGCATTGACGTATACTGTACAAATGCTCTTCTCTTTTCCTACAAACACATTTATGTAAAGTTGTGGATTGAACACATTAAAGTCATATGTAGATCTTACAAGAACCTACTGTAATTAGTGGACTGGTGGCACTATAGTATGAGGGGGAAATTTCTTTGGTTGTTTGTCAAACTGTGAGCTTCAAAGGGTCTAACCCAACCAGGTTTATGTTCTGCCTGTTATTATTGCAATGATGGGCAGTAGAGTCACAGTTCTGCTATGACAAGAAGTGCTCAGACTCTATGACCCCTGTCCCTCATTCTTCACATCATTCACCATACAAGCAGTCAACATATTCAGGGTCATACCCAGATCTCCAGATCTATTTCTGATTGATTATATTCCTTACAGAGAACCGAAATATGCTAATGAAAAATCTCGGTTTTTTTTCCTCCTAAAAAAGAAACACATGTCTAAATGCTTGCAGTCTGGTCCTGCTGGTTGCTTATCATGAAGGATTTCAGGAGTGAAAAAGGTTGAAGCAGGGGTCATCATCTAGACGGGTATAGCAGCTGTACAGATTAAACCTTATCATCATTGCATAATTTGTTAAGACTAAAAAAAGCTACCTATTGCCTCCAGAAATGCTATAATGATTATTCTATAAAAGAAAATTGAAATAATTAAAGCTTTTCAAATGTTTTAGACTGAAGTCTGAATGAGCTGAAGCTTAATTTTTTCATGTGGATCAACAGGTATTTGATCAAATCAAACTAAGTATGTCCTAGAGAACCTGCATCAGTGCAAAAAATTGCTTTGAAAAGTAGGACAAAAGCTGTAATCTCAATTTGTGGACTCAAGTACAGAAGCTTGCTCCAGTTCAGATCCAATGATAAGTCTTTTATGTGTTAGGAGGGTTCTGATATTTTTGACTAACATGTAAGTCAGCATTTTATATCTTCCTTTCAAAATCTTTACTTGCATCAAAAGCTGCAATATGACCCAAATACTAGGCTGCTATCCCTCTTAGTTACTGAGCAGGCAGAGAGATACATTTAGCAATAACACAGATATTAAAAGCTTCTATTCAGCAAGCATCAGCCCAGACTTCTAAGAGTAGAATCAGAAACAGGATTGGACTTTTTCAGTTCTTAATCAGGGCTGGACTCATCTGCTATAATCCTCCATGGCTTCACTGAAGGCAGGCCCATTCTATATCATATGGTCTTATATGCTTTTATGTGCTGGGTCATTTTGAGAATAAGGAGGTGGTATATAAGGTAGAGGTCAGCATCAGGTCATATTTATCTGTATAGCACATTTCATATAAATGCACTCTCAATGAGCTGTACAGTGGATAAAAAGAAAGACAAATCAAAGTAAGAATTAAAATCAACAAAGACATTTATAAAACAGTATTGCACCAACCCATTTAACTTTGATTTGGATCAAACTTAGCTTGGAATGTTCAGACTTGTGCCAGGTTGTGGTTGGTTGCCTAAAGATTAGTCATTATTAAGGTGACACAGATAACAGCTAACCTGGTTTGGTCTAGACTTAAAAAATCAACTTAATAACCCCTCTTGGACCACTTCTATCTATACAGTGAAATCTAAGAAGATGAATTTGTGATGTTTTTAAGAGAGAGTAACAGACTCAAACTTTTCTTTCTCAAAGAAGAGAAGATGAGTTTTGAGTGCAGTGGACTGGTTCTGTTAAGTCCTTTCTTTCTTGGTCTTGGTTTTTGGTTTGTTTTTGCTCTCTACATAGATTTCAAATCAGTTGACGTGAAATACTAGCTGTTTATAATGACTAACTCAGTGGTTCTTAACCAGGGTTCTATCGAACCCTAGGGGTTCGGTGAGTCAGTCTCAGGGGTTCGGCGGAGCCTCTGCCACGGAGGTCAAGACACACCTGACTCATAATGTAAATTCGAGAAGGGTTCGGTGAAAGTGCATATGAAACTGGTGGGTTCGGTACCTCAAACAAGGTTAAGAACCACTGGACTAACTGAACCTTTTTGGGTTTTCCCGCTGTAAGTAGGCATTTGTATCTTCATGTTAATTAGTATATCTTGTTTGCAACCCCAGAATAATGGTTATAGTAAAGTGCTAAGGCTTAGCATACCCCCAAAATATATAGAGCCATACTGACAGTCAATCACAGAGGAGCTTTGCTAAGACAGAGCAGAGTAGTAAAGTCAGCTGTTTTTTACTCGTATATGGTTTGGATCCACAGAGTATTGACTCAAAAACATTTGTAAAGATATCAGTCCTTATTTTTATTCTCCTCAAATCACGCCTTAAACCTGTGCTTGTTCACTAAAAGACTCCAAACATTTTTATCCAAGTGCTAATGTGATATTGTGCTGTTATGTGCTGCAACTCAACTCTATTTACAATTATTTGCTCTCGCTCTCTCTCTCTCTCTCTCTCTCTCTCTCTCTCTCTCTCATTCTCTCTCTCTGTTTCTGTCTGTCTGTCTCTCTCCCTCTCTTACAATACACTTTTCCAAAGCTAAATGTTTTATTCATAAATATTCATTTATTCCTTTTAATTGCAGTATAAGCTTGCTCTTTGTACTTGAATTTCAACATTTCAAAACAGGGATGGCACTATTTCTATACGAGCAGTGCATTCCTGATGAAATTTGGTAATAGTGGTTCAGTGATTATTATAAAGCTACACTTACTGTAAAGAAAAAGTTTTTTTTATTCTTTTTGACAGAAGCATAGACAATAAAAGTGTTGAACTGAGGCATGATGTAAAGACTAATCAATCTCTATAGAATTGAATTTGGACTTGGATAATTTATTCAGCCAGCCCTTTTCTTAAGGGTTTGCAGTGTGGATGGGTTAACCATGTGACTCTGTGAACACTTACTGTATGACAGTATACTGATAAACATGCTAAAGTATCTGTTTTTCAGTGGTAATCTGTAACAAAATAAAAAAAAAATCAAATCAGATCTTTCCTGTCTGGCTTTTCTTTTATTACTTTTATTATTATTTCACTGTTTTCTGTCCCTGGCTCCACACCTCTGACACCCGAAGAGAATTCAACATGTCCAGGATTTCATTTAGTCAGCAGGCTTTTCTTGCTGGCTCAGCATGTAGAAGCAGGGCTCATTAGCAATGATAGGCTGATCTTAGACCACGAAGGATTTATGATTCATACATCTGTAAATGCAGCAGACGCGTAATCAAACTTCTGTTGCAGCTCTATGTTGACATGTAGGTGCATGTTGGCGTCCTCTTTGTTGCAGGGGACCCAGCTTTCTGATGTAGAAACTAAGAACTAGATTAGGAGGCCTGTCTCTCTTAGTGTTAGATTACACACATGCAGTAAACTGTAAAGATGGTAAACACATAGCTCTCTTTAAAAAATAATAACAACCCATCCTTGTCTAGTTTAAAATTAAACTTTTAAACTATTTTGAGTCAGTTTTAGTTTGATTAAGAGACCTGTTAGGGTAATGTATGACTGTAATGAGATTATGTCTGTCCCTGATTATGTTAATCGTAATTAATAAAGGATGGTGATAAGGCCTTATTAAGGTCCTGATCACTCCTGCTGATAAGAAAGAGGAACTAGAGGAACTCTTACTTTGGCTGCCCATGGGTTGGGGGAAGCAGTGCTTCCACATCAGTGTTATTGGAAAGAGAAGAACAACAGGGGGACAATGCTAGAGCAGTTTGGTCCAGACCAGAGGCCTGTACTACGAAGCTGGATTAACAAATCCAGGATAACTCTGCGACAACTCGCTCAACTTCACCGGATCTCCGTGATCCCGATCAGCTGTACTACGAAGCAGGATATCAACTCGATAACTGAATCCAGTTCAGATCTGTGCGCGCACACGTAAAGGGGGTGGGGTCAGTGCCACCGGACCAATCTCCACAATGGAGAAGGCTGCACGTCATTTTTCACGGCTGAAGAACAGAGCTTTATTTAAACAGTGAGACAGACACAGCCGCTAAAAGCCGGAGGGACTGCCGGCAAAAAAAAATCACCGGTTGTGTAAATTACATTTGTGCGTTCATAAATTTATGGCCCCCTAATATATTGTCATGCAGCGTGTGTAATCACCTCCATCATAGACCTCATTATTTCAGATACAACAGCAGTGGGGAAAAGAGTACGTGGGAGCAAATAAAAATAAATCTAAAAACATCCTTTTAAGTACTTTGTAAGTTTATTGGAATATTTTATTTGTACCTATTTCAACGCGTAAACAGTGATTTCCTCACACTGCCTTTTTTTTTCTCCATCATCTGATGGTCACGTCATCTGCAGACACATTTGGGGTTAAGAGTTTTCTAATCTGCTTCAATGAATTCTGAAAGATGACTAACAAATTTGAACCTGGAGCTTGGCAAATTTTAGTGTATTGCTTAGACTTCATGCTACCTGAATATTGAGGCCGTTCAAGGAAAACCTGTAACGTTCATAGAGAACGTCATCAGGTAAATCAAACGGATTTGAACGATCATGAATATAACGCTCTCGGCGGAGTGCTCCTCTCACTATCCGTGCAACGATGTCCCCGGGATCCGGCAAAAGTGGGCAAGCCATTTTCCAAGAGATCCGATTGGTCATCGGGTGGTTTTTTATACCTGCTGAGCTCTTATCCTGAAACATAACCTGCTCCGGAGCAGGTTTGGCGTTCCGCGTAAGTTACCGGGGCAACGGACCCGGATAAAAAGAGATCCACCTTCGTAGTACAGAAAACCCAGAAGTTATCCAGAAGTTATCTCGCTAAGACCAAATCCAGCTTCGTAGTACAGGCCTCAGGGGCCTGTTCTACGAAGCAGGATTACTGCTTAGCGAGGTAACTTCGAGGGTAAGTTCAGGGTTTCCTGTTCTACGACGCAGGTTCACTTCTCAGCGAGGCGAGTCTCCATGGCAACATACGCTGAACGGCTAACCTGCTACAGGGGCCTGAGGCCTGTACTACAAAGCTGGATTTGGTCTTAGCGAGAGAACTTCTGGATAACTTCTGGGTTTCCGTACTACGAAGGTGGATCTCTTTTTATCCGGGTCCATTGCCCCGGTAATTTACGCGGAACGCCAAACCTGCTCCGGAGCAGGTTATGTTTCAGGATAAGATCTCAGCAGGTATAAAAGACCGCCCAATGATCAATCGGATCTCTTGGAAAATGTCTTGCCCACTTTTGCCGGATCCCGGGGACATCGTTGCACGGATAGTGAGAGGAGCGTTCCGCGTTTATTCATGATCGTTCAAATCCGTTTGATTTACCTGAGGCCTGTACTACGAAGCTGGATTAACACATCCAGGATAACTCTACGACAACTCGCTCAACTTCACCGGATCTCCGCGATCCCGATCAGCTGTACTACGAAGCCTGTTATCAACTCGATAACTGAATCCAGTTCAGATCTGTGCGCGCACACGTAAAGGGGGTGGGGTCAGTGCCACCGGACCAATCTCCACAATGGAGAAGGCTGCACGTCATTTTTCACAGCTGAAGAACAGAGCTTTATTTAAACAGCCGGAGGGACTGCCGGCAAAAAAAAAGAAAAATCACCGGTTGTGTAAATTACATTTGTGCGTTCATAAATTTATGGCCCCGTAATATGTTGTCATTGCAGCGTGTGTGATCACCACCATCATAGACCTCATTATTTCAGATACAACAGTAGTGGGGAAAAGAGTACGTGGGAGCAAATAAAAATAAATCTATAAACATCCTTTTAAGTACTTTGTAAGTTTATTGGAAGATTTTATTTGTACATATTTCAACGTGTAAACAGTGATTTCCTCACACTGCCTTTTTTTCTTCTTCATCTGATGGTCACATGTCATCTGCAGACACATTTGGGGTTAAGAGGAGTTTTCTAATCTCAGGGCTCTCAAGTTTTGAACTGAGCTTAGAGTGAGATTTTTTTTCCTGGGGGGGGGGGGGGATTATTGAAGATAATTATTATAATAATAATCTAATAAATACAATGGAGTGTAAGGGCTACATTAAGAAAAAACAATGTTTTTTTCTTCGAGATTAAAGTTATTATTTAGGAGAATAAAGTCATTAATTTATAAGAATAAAGTAGTAAAGTTACCTGTTGTGGAGGAGAGTTGCTAAAATCAGCACTGATGAGCATTTAGATGAATTGTACTTTAGTATAGGCTTCACAAATATGGAGATACTTAATCCTTTGGTACATGAGCGTTACACTGTCATGAGTATCAGAACTTTAAAAAGAATATATGAGACATGCTGCTTTTGTGGAGGGGGAAATGGCTGGAAATGGCTGTACAGAGGCTAAATTCATCAATACAGCTGTTAATAGCAATGGCATAGGGCTTTAGTTTATCATATGAGTTTATCTGCCATGAGGTGTTGAGGTCTCTGCATGTGAAGGTTACTGACTTACTGTAATCATCGGGTCGATCTCGTCCTTATGAAAACCTGCTCTATTTCGGCAAGTGTCTGTCTTCTTCTGTAGTCAAACCGCAAGATATCAAAATCTACCCGGATACAGCAATGCTGCTTTTTGATTGGCTGTTCAGTAGATATACTTTATTTGATTGGCTTGCGTGTGGCACGCAGCTTCTGAACTTTCGGAGGAACTCAGTTGATTCCTACCTGTTCCATTGTTAAAGAGGTGTAACTTGGTGGACATCACCATGTTCATTTAAATGCGTGAGAAATACAATGTGTGGCGTGTGAGCGTGTGAACGGGTGGGAATGCGTGTGTCACACGCTGAATGCGTGAGACTTAAGAGCCCTGTAATCTTCTTCAATAAATTCTGAATGATGACTGAAATGCCGCATGAAATTGGAACCTGGAGCTTGGCAAATATTAGTGTATTGCTTAGACTTCATGCAACCTGAATATTGAGGCCGTCCGAGGAAAACCTGTAGCGTTCATAGAGAACGTCATCAGGTAAATCAAACGGATTTGAACGATCATGAATATAACGCTCTCGGTGAAGCCCTCCTCTCACTATCCGTGCAACGATGTCCCCGGGATCCGGCAAAAGTGGGCAAGCCATTTTCCAAGAGATCCGATTGGTCATCGGGCGGTCTTCTATACCTGCTGAGATCTTATCCTGAAACATAACCTGCTCCGGAGCAGGTTTGGCGTTCTGCGTAAGTTACCGGGGCAACGGACCCGAATAAAAAGAGATCCACCTTCGTAGTACGGAAAACCCAGAAGTTATCCAGAAGTTATCTCGCTAAGACCAAATCCAGCTTCGTAGTACAGGCCTCTGATGACGTTCTCTATGAACGTTACAGGTTTTCCTCGGACGTCCTCAATAAAGCATGAAGTCTAAGCAATGCACTAATATTTGCCTAGCTCCAGGTTCCAATTTCATGCAGCATATCAGTCATCATTCAGAATTTATTGAAGCAGATTGGAAAACTCTTAACCCCAAATGTGTCTGCAGATGACATGTGACCATCAGATGATGAAGGAAAAAAAAAAAGGCAGTGTGAGGAAATCACTGTTTACGCGTTGAAATATGTACAAATAAAATCTTCCAATAAACTTACAAACTACTTTAAAGGATGTTTTTAGATTTATTTTTATTTGCTCCCACGTACTCTTTTCCCCACTGCTGTTGTATCTGAAATAATGAGGTCTATGATGGAGGTGATCACACACGCTGCATGACAACATATTAGGGGGCCATAAATTTATGAACGCACAAATGTAATTTACACAATCGATGATTTTTTTTGCCAGCAGTCCCTCTGGTTTTTAGCGGCTGTGGCTGTCCTGCTCCCCACTGTTATAATGTTGCGGTACTCCTCGTAAATTAATGGTCTGTTCTTCGGCTGTGAAAAATGACGTGCAGCCTTCTCCATTGTGGAGATTGGTGCGGTGGAACTGACCCCACCCCCTTTACGTGTGCACGCATAGATCTGAAGAGGCCACACTTGGATCCAGTTATCGAGTTGATAACCGGCTTCGTAGTACAGCTGATCGGGATCCGGTGAAGT